AGAGGAGAGGAGAGGAGAGGAGAGGAGAGGAGAGGAGAGGAGAGGAGAGGAGAGGAGAGGAGAGGAGAGGAGAGGAGAAGAGAGGAGAGGAGAGGAGAGGTAATCACGTTACCTTGATCAGTCTGTCGAAAGAGGACACTATGCTCGAGAGATCTCTCGATCGGAGAACTGGGAGAGACGAGCGTCAGTGCGCGAGCGAAGAGGGAGGAGGGAGACATAGGGAGAAGGAGGCAGGGGGCGAGAGGAGAGAAAGCCGTGTGGGCAAAGAAAGAAGAAGCAGAATTTGTGAAGGGGGAGATTGATGCAAGTGGACGCGAGGAGAAGGGGAGGCGAGGTTGCTCACGGTCTTCTAGCGAGCAGGCGATGGGCTCGAAGAGCGCGGAGGTCAGACCGTTCTCGATGTCTCTCCTGGCAAGAGAGGAGAGATGAGGAGGGAGAAGGAAAAATGTAAGACAGGGCGACGTCATGTTAGTAAGCGAACCCAGTAGGAAGCGAAGGGTACGAGGCAAGAAAAGTGAGAGAGGAAAGGAGAGGAGAACGGGAGGAGGAGGCGAGGAGGAGGCGAGGAGCGCACAAGGAGTGTGAAGTAAGTGCATGAGAGTACAGTAGGAGGTTTACCCCAATCCTCCTGCTTTCATCGCATTCGACGCGTGCAATCTCGCGATCTCATCCTGAAAGGACTGTGAGAAGAACTAGGAAAGGTTGTAGGGATAGGAAGGGGAGGACAGGACAGGACAGGACAGGACAGGACAGGACGGGACAGGGGAGAAGGAAAGGGGAAAAGCAGACCTGGAGGTCTTTGTTTCGGATCGCCTGCCCCACAAGTCAGCAGCATGTCAGTTCCATCCACCTCCCTCCTCCCCTCGTCCGCATCATCACTCAGGAGCATCTTCATCAGCCCCCCCGCTACGTTCAACATCCTCCCACCTCACTCTCCAGTCTTGACCTCAGCGCCGTCTTCTCGCTCATCAGGCTCTCCAGCAGTGCCTTTGACACGTCATTAACCCCCTCCCCCTCCAGCCCACCCAGGTCGAGCACCTGCTTTGCAAGCACCTCCTCGCACATCTTGTTGAGCTGGGCCTCCAGCTCGTTGTCGTTGACCTCCCTGCTGGAGCTCAGCAGACCTCCCGCAAACTCTCGGGCCCTCACACCTCACATGCGGCTTGACATGGCTCGTCCTCTCCAGCTGCCTCACCTGCAGCTCCGCTTCCTCCAGCTGGCACGGCGTCAGCTGGCTGCTTGCTGGGGATGACGTCACCTTCTTGCGGATGCCCTTGGTCTGGTTGTCGAACTCTTCCCTCAGCTCCTCGCAGTGTCTCTCCTTCGCCTTGAGGGCTGGGCGGCAAGTCAATGAGGCAGAGGCAGGGAGAGGAAGGGAAAGAATAAAGCAGGGAGGGAGGCAGGGAGGGAGGCAGGGAGAGGAAGGGAAAGAAGAAAGCAGGGAAGGAGGAAGGCAGGGAGGCAGAGGCAGGGAGAAGGAAGAGGTCCTTGAGGGAAAGGGAGCGAGGGATGGATGGATGGATAGATGGATGGATGGAGGCAGGCAGGCAGGCAGGAGGGGAGGAGGGTGAGTTGAGGTGGGGGGAATGGTTTGAAAGGAGAGAAACGATGGGTAGGAGGGAGAGATCCAACCGCTCCGAAGCACTTGGCTCTCGTGCTTGTGCTCTTCGACCTCCTTCCTGCTCATGGAGGGATCAGGGCTTCCTCCGATAGCGAGGCAACACCAACTTGAGCGTTTGCATGCTCGCCACGACCGATCGAGAGTTCTCCTCCGATGCTCGAAGCCTTCCGGGCACGTGTGAGAGGAGGGCAAGGTAGGGTCGGTCAGGCACAACCGCTCCTCTGCCTCCTTGGCTGCTGCCTCGCTCTCCTGCACTCTCTCCATCACAACCTGCTCCTCTCCCATCGCTCGTTGGCGCACCTGCCGCCGCCTCTCCGCCGCCGCGAGCTCCCTCGTGAACTGGAAGAATGCAGCCATGAGGGGGTTGTGGTCGCAAGGATGGCACGGCACCTGAACAGTCTCGGAGGACAACGACTGCTCTCGATCTTGGAACATGAGGAGCTGGTTCTTGTGCTCTGCCCGCGCTTCCTCCACCTTGACCGAGAAATCGAGTCATGCTCCCCCTCAGCAAACAAGCGGCCTCACCTGCTTCTGCGCCTCCTCGTACTTCCTCTGGAGGAAATCCTTGGACTCCTGGAGGGCGGACAGTGAGCGAACCCATCAGCGCACTGGAGAGGAAGGCAAGACCTCCTGCTCCTCGAGAGACTTCTCCAGCTCAATCACTCTCCGGGAATATTCCTCGTTCTCTGCAGCACAGAGGAGCACATCAGAGCGAGCAGAAGCGGGCTCTTCCTACGCCTACCTCTTCTCAACTGATCCATGTATCTCTGCATCGACTCGATCTCGTCCGCCTGTACAACGTCAGTCGCTGGCTGCCACGTCTTAGTCAGGTCCGTCGGGTCCAACCTTGGCTTTCAGCGACTCTCTCATCGCGTTCGTCTGCAGCTGGGCCTGCTGCTCGGCCTGAATCATGATGAATCGCACATGTTATTCCTTGCGAGACAAGATGCACACTTGTCGGTGCTTGTTCTGCTCCGTCACAGCTTTCTCGACCTCCCGTTGAGCCTGATCGAGCTGCAGAGAGGGTCAGGTTGCAAACGCATCCCCGCGCACTTGCCTTGTCGTTCCACTCCTTCTCCCGCTCAGCTGAACTCTTGAGAAGTGACTTGTGGGAGGTCACCAGCAGTTCGATCTGCAAGCTCCTTCACGCGCGGCAACAAGTCGACCCATCGTTTGCTTCTTCACCTGGCTGCTCTTCTTTGCAAGAGCCTTGGACAGCTTCTCAACTTTTCTGCAGGCTCTCCATCATAGGAGAAACGCCATGAGCACGGGAAGTTACAGTTGTAGGCTTGACCGCGGAGAAAGGGCTGTGCTTGAAACAGCTTCTGCAGTGATAGGTTAAGGATAGACGTCTTCGTTCACAAACGAGACCATTCTCTTGTGCCTCTGGCTCGTCGGCATTCAGGTTTCCTCCATCATTACCCTCCTGTGTTCAGACGTCTCATGCATGGAAGAGGGATCGCCATGTCGGTGCCTACCATGAGGATCTTGAGCTCGTCAGCGTCAGCCGCAGCATCGTTGGAAACTGCCTCCAGAGTCTCGGCAGCTACAAACCCATCAAATCTCACAGAGAAAACCATTTCATTCATGGCAGGGCAAGTCAGAATGATCGTGTTAGTTGGGGAGGAGGGGGAGATACCGGTCCTGTCGAGTTTGTCCAGCAAGTCGCCAGCTTTCTGCAGCCACTCCATGTTTGAGGCCCTGGAAGTGTCCAGCAGGCAAAGCTCTGCCCTGTCTCGATCCTCCTCACCCGCTCACGGTCACAACTTTGGCAGCTGCTCGCTCTTTCCTCCTCCTCCTCCTCCTCCTCCTCTCACTGCTCCCCTCCCCGCATTTGCATGCGCAGCCGCGCCCACTGGAACTTTCCACACGCCATCGTAGTGCACCCTGAATCAAGGGCAGCAGTAAATTCTCAGTTGTTGATTAGTGCAAGGATTAACTGCCCCGCTGAAGCTAAATTCGAAAATGAACTTGATTAAAGTCTGGGATAATTTGAATTAAGAGATCTTAATTTATTATTAGCATGGAAGTTGAGTGAAAAACTTCTTGCTGAAAGTTTGCGGCGGGCGCGAGAAGCATGGACGGGAGTGTTGACATGGACGCGGCGCTGGCGGCGGTGGAAATGCAGCAGGTGTCTGCTGGGGTAACGAACGTGCTAGTGATAGCAGGACATAGCAAGTCGAACTTCTTCCTCTCAACTTCAGTCTACGGCACCGCAGTGTACAGATCTGCGGTAATGGACTTGAAACACAGGACAGTGTCTTTCGAGCCTATGTTGGAGATCGATGATTTCGACCTTGACATGAAGGTGTTTGAAGACATCGTCAGTACGCATGAGGTGAGTTGAATCGCCCCTGATTTTCCCTGAGAACAACTGCAAGGGAAATGTCGCTTTTTTGTTGGGCACACATGGTTACACTCGTTTTGCAGGAAATGCAGAGAAATGAAATGAATTTGAGCATCACACAGAAGAAAGTTTTCTCAGCGTGCCAAGGTGAAGCAGAGACTGGCCATGTCTTCTATGATAAAAATCTTACCTTGAACGGATACGATTTCTCCTGGGGAAAGCTGTTGCTGGATCTGGCCAAAGGTGGGCGCCCATGGTGGGACATGAAGGAGGATGGAAAATTAGCCTTTGCAATGGTCTGCCACAGGCGCCTGGGAGAGAGCTCAATCTGGAATTCGTTAGAGGAAGACCTCTTGAAGATGATAATCGAGATGATCAAAGTTATAGGATCGTTCGACAAAACCTCATTCTGCTACCAATACTAGAATCTCAAATGGGAAGATTGCCTCTCGACGCAGCCCATTTTTCATGGAAGGAACAGATCACCATGAAATTGACTTGCCCGGACAAATAGAATCAGTCTGCTACAGCTCTTTGTTCTTCTCTTTACGCTTTCTTTTGTTTACAGAATATTGTTTGGCCCGGATTGCCCTCTTTTTCTACCTCCATCGATCCCGTACGAGCAGCCGGTTTGCAGGAAAATTGGTTCTAGCCCATCACGTTTCCCTCTCAGCGTATCAGAACGACATCACAGTCATAGACAGTGGAATGACGATCATGAATTCTCTTGTCTTGGAAGACATCTACCCAAGTCGAAGTTGTGGACAGATCCAGAAGTCTTGCGGGATCAACGAGTTAGGAGAAAGAACTTGATCCACTACTTGTTTGTCTCTTCTTTCAGATACGATCGAGCATCATCATGATGCTGTTTTGACATGCCACGCCTTAACTCTTCCTACTCACCTCCAAACTTCGAAGCACAGAGAGTGAAGTCTCAGATTTGCGTGTGCCTGTCTTATGGATGATTAGAGGACTTGAGGAAGGGATCATTCTCCTCCTCCTCCTCTCCTTTTTCTTCTCTCCTTCGCCACTTTCCTGCCTTTCCTCCTCATCCTCTTCTGCCTGAGTGCCTGCATCTCCTCCTCCGCCAAAGTACCTGCCCATCATCCTCATCCTCATCCTCATCATCATCGTCGTCGCCGTCGTCGTCGTCGTCGTCGTCATCGTCATCATCATCATCATCGTCATCATCATCCCGTCCTCTACCTTCCTCCTCTCCACCCTTCCTGCTCTCTTGGCACCCTGTCGTATTGTGAATTTCAAACCCTCCTGTCCTCTTTGTCTCCAGATTCATCACTTGTCCATCACGTTCAAGGGGATAACTCCAGTTGCAACTGCTGCGTCTCTACGATGCACTCGTTCATGCACCCCTCTCCCCAACCCTCCTTGCTCCACCATTTCCTGTCACTCTCCTCCGGATCCCTTCGCTCTGAACTCGGCACCGAGTCCGACCTTATCCTCTCACCTTCGCATCCCCTCACTTCGACACAGCGGGATGTGACTTGCAGGCAGGCAGGCAGGCAGGCAGGCAGGCAGGCAGGCAGGCAGGCAGGCAGGCAGGCAGGAGGAAGACACAACTGGTGTTGTCGGCTTCTGAGCTACTTGTTGATCGATCTGACAAGTATTGAAGAGTATAAGAGAATACTAATCCAAGCAGAGTCCAGCAAGTTTGAGTAAGTTACACGTTTGATTTCTTCATGGACTGAAAAAGAAAGGCAAACCGGAGATTTCAGTCTTTTTTATTTGACCGCCCATCAAATGGTTTCCAGTCAGTTGGCGGGGCAATGGCGCGCAACCGGGGCGGGGCCGGCACAGGACGCGCATGACAGAGGAGGCAGAGGCTCTGGTTGATCCTGACTTGGCTAACGGGCTATCCATGGACAAGGGGGAGGTGATGGAGATGCAAAGAGGGGCGGGGGAGGTGGAAGCGAAGGAAGTTCGGCCGCAGGAGGAGAGCATGGAGGAGGACGGCGTCCACACGAGCGGGGTCTACGCTGAGCTGACCTCCCTCGGGGAGCGATGGCAGAGGATTATGAACCAGGTCCTTCTGTGGCTGAACCAGCCGCTTGCTCTCAACCCCCGAGGAGACTTCGTCCGTCTCGTGCGGTACCTCAGCTACCTATGCGCATTGTGGACCTCCTTGTCCTCCCCCATGCTCCTGGCCTTCGAGTTGCAGACTTCTTCCTCTCCTTCCTCTCTCTCCTCTTCGTCCTCCTCCCCACCTCGTTGGCGCTCATGGGTTCCACCTGTGATCATCCTCAGCACCATAGCCGACGTCGTGCTCATGTTTGAGATGCTAGTCGCTTCCATCACCTCCTTCCCCTATCACCTCGACTGCGGGGCCCAGAAGAAGATGCAGAGAGACGTGATCATCTGCATGAAGCAATACGCGCGCACATGGCTCCTCCTCGACGCCTTCTCGGCGTTCCCGGCTGCCTTCCTGCTCTACTCGGTCGTCGGGGTAGGCGGGAAGCTCGGGCGCGTGCTCGAGGCGCTCCTCCTGCTCAAGGGCGTCAGCTTCTTCCGCCTGTACGCTAAGGTTCACGAGTGGGTGACGCGAGTGGACACGACCATGTGGCTGTGGGTGAGGCTGGGGGCTGCCGCGCTCATCGCGCTGGGAATGTCTTGGCAATGGAGCGCATGCGTCTGGTTGTCAACGGCGAAGGGGGCGGGGGAGGAGATGGAGGCGTGTAACTCGACCAACAGGACGGGGCCTGCGGTACTGCTGGTAGTGGAGGAGACGACAGCGGTGTGCCAGTCAAGGTGCAGCAACAGGACAACGCTAATGAGGCTGGAAGGACTGGAGCACAAGTACTTCTGTTCGCTCCTCTGGTCGCTCCGCATCCTCACGCTCTCGTCGAGCGCAGAGTCCATCCCCCAGTCGCACGGAGAGCGCATGGTGGAGGTGTTTGCCATCTTCTTCAGCGTCGTCTTCGGGCTGGCGTATGTGCTTGCCAAGCTCTTCATCCTCCACCGCTCACGGAAGACCCTCGCGCACGAGTTCCTCCTCCGGACCATCCATCCCATGTTCCACTTCCTTGAGCTGCGCTTCAGAGAGGAAGGGAGGAAGACGGGGATTGCTGATCTCGCGTGGCTGCCTCCTGCTCGCTCGACGCGGCTGCTCAAGAGGAGGATGCAGTTGTTCTACGACAACCAAGTCCATCACCTCCATGGATCCTCTGACCTGCTCGTCCTCGCTCCTCCTTGGCTCCCCTCCCGCCTCCGTGTAGCTGCCTTCCTAGAGCTGCATGCTGCCTCCCTGCTCTCCATCGACTACCTCGCCCAGTGCGTCAGATGCGCCGCATGGAATGTCGATGCTCGAGAGATCTGCCAGATGGGCATGGATCGCCCGTTTTCATGCTCCCCGTCGGAGGTGAGGAGAGAGTGAGAGGAGGAGGAGGATGAGTAGAAGAGCGAGATAGATCAGCAGGCATCATAGTGTTACGGAAGGAGACAGCACAGAAAACGATAACGGGGGAGGAAAGGGAGGAGCGAGGGGGGGGGAGGGCGGGAGGAGGATGGGGAAGGTGCAGAGAGGCTTTAAGGGCGTGTTTCGTTAGACGGGGGAGATCTGGTATTGTGCTGACGGGGCAGCAGGGAAGTCAAGCCCAGCAGCTTATCGAGTTCATCATGCTGAACGCGCGAGTTGTCAACAACCAGCCCGACGACCTGATGGCCTTCCCGCACATGACATTCACCTCCCTCTCCATCCTCCTCCGTGGGAGGGTGCACGTGGCGGATGCCAGCATGTGGCACGAGGAGAGAGGAGAGCGATCGATCTGCAGTTGGCCAAGGTTCAACAGACAGAACCTCCTCTACACTGATATGGAGGAGGAGGAGGAGGAGGAGGAGAACGTTCATGCAAGGAGGAGGATCAAAGGGGAGGAGGTGAGGGGCGTGCCGCATGGTTTCGGGGGGAGGGTGGAAGGAGGATGGGAAGCGTTGGCAGGAGCGGGAGCGTCGTGGGGCGAGAGTCTCTGCCAGCAGGTTGGAAACAAGAGCTCGAGGGTGCAGGAGGTTGTCGCCAAGTTCTACATGAGCGACGACAAGTGGAGCATGGAGGGGGTGGAGGAAGCGTCAGTGGTGCCGGGGACGGAGGTGCGGGAAGAGGCGAGCGCTACCAAGGACGATGGCTTGAGAGAGGAGGAGCTGGAGCTGGATTTGCTGGAGAGCAGTATGGAGCAGAGCAGGGAAAGAAGGAGGGGGGCAGTACCCTTCAAGGCTGGTAACCTGACTTACGGGGATTTTCACTCGTCTTTGGTGTCCTGTGGTTGTGCGACTGCGTACACCGAGAAGATGAAATATTTGTCTACAGGAGGGATCCTTGATACTCAGGTGCCCTCCTAATCCTCCTCCACCACCTCACCTTCATCTTCATCCTCCTCCTCCTCTTCCTCCTCCCCCTCCCCCTCCCTCCTCCTCCTCCTCCTCCTCCTCCTCCTCCTCCTCCTCCTCCTCTTCCTCCTCCTTCTCCTATTCTTCCTTCTCCTCCTCTCTTTCTCCACCCACGGCAAATATTCTCCTTTTCACTCACATTTACCGCTCCCCCTCTGCTCGGTTACATCCTAAAATCCTATTCCTCCCCCTCCCCTCCCGCCTGCAGAGGTTCGAGGTTTCGACGTTTCAACGGGCAGTTTCCCTTCTACCGGAAGCTCAGCTGGTAGTGTCGGCAAGTCCCAACGTCAATCCTTTTCCTTTGTCTGACTGTCCACCAGAGTTTCTCGATGTTTGCAAACACATATACCTCCTCCCTCGTGCTCAGCGCAGGTCTGCAAGCACCCACTGAGATTGCTCTGCTGCTATCCCATTTTCCTACTCCTCCTCTCCTCCTCTACCTTGTTACCATGTGCTCCACTTCACCTCCTGCTATGACTACTCTGTCTCCTCTACTACATCTCTTTCTCCTCCCTCCTCCTCCTCCTCCTCCTCCTCCTCCTCCTCCTCCTCCTCCTCCTCCTCCTCCTCCATCATCGTCGTCCATCTCCAACACATCAAACAGGATTGCTGGAGGAGATGGCAGAGCGCTTTCCCGTCTTCGTCGCAGGTTCTCCGGCATGGCAAGAGCAACAGCAGGCAATGACTCCGAGCATGCAGGCGCAGCCGTGACAGCTAGGAAGCAAAGGCTCCTCAGAGTTCGGTAGACCGCAGAACTCAAAAACGCTCGCAGCTGACCTGCCAGTTTCGCCTCTCCCCTCCTCTCCCCCTTCTCCTTTGCTCTCCTCCTGTACCCCCTCTGTACCCCCTCTGGCTCCTCTCTCCTCCTCGCTCCTCCTCCTCTACCCATGCCTGCCCGATCCGACCTCCTTATTTTTCCCTTCCCCAGGAGGCTATGGTTGGACCTCGTCAGAGGAAAATTCCACGAGAACGTATCCTCTCCAACTTTCACTCCTGCTCCCACTCCTGCTTTCTGCTCCTGCTCCTGCCCCGCCCGCAACTTTCGCTTCTTCCCATTCTCCCTCGTTCTTGTTGCTTCAATTTTCTCCTCTTTGACCCTTTGAAATCCTTCAGGAAAACAATCTCAGAAAGCTCATCTTGTCCATATCAAAAGGTTCGGGAGCTTGGTTGCGTTCATGATTTGAACTCTTGGCAGTTGGGATGGAATGGGCAATGAAACGGAAGAAGCTCAAAGACAGGTCGATGTCCCACCTTCCCTTCCCTCCCTCCTCTCCTTCTTACTCTCCTCGAATCCTTCGCTCCCCTCTCCTCCCTCCCCTTCATCCTCCCTCTCTTCCCTCCTTCCTTTTCATCCTTCTCTTTGCTCGCCTCCTGGTCATCTCTGGGCCCTTTCTCCCTCCTGCTCCGATTTTTCTCACCTCGACCTTCTGGCAGGTTGAAGAAACTAGAGGATCTCCGCGTCAAGCAGGAAGTAAGTCTCCTTTCATTCCTGTCTTGCTCCTGCTTCCTCCCTCTCCCGCTCCCTGCCTCTCCTGCTCCTTGCCTGTCTTCCTCCCTCCCTCCCTCCCTCCCCAGTCTCCCTCCCTCCCCTACCCCCCTTCTCCTCCCCGCCTCCTCTCCTGCTTCTGCTGCTGTCTTATCCCAGCTCAGCTGGAGGAGAGAGCGCTTCGGTCTCTGTGTCGCCCTGGAGCAGGAGGCATCCTCGTCCCGGTGCATCCCGAGGCTCCTGACCGCAGGAAGCTTGTGCTGGTGCGTTCCTAGGGGGTGAGCGCCTGGAGCTGACAGGTGACTGCAGGAGAAGTTCATCAGCCTGTGGGAGGAAGCGTGTGTTGGGCTGGAGGAGATACGAAGACAGAACGAGGTCGGGGGGGAGGAGGAAAGCAGAGCAGAGCAGAGGCAGCAGAGCAGAGCAGAGCAGAGCAGAGCAGAGCAGAGCAGAGCAGAGCAGAGCAGAGCAGAGGAGGGAGGAAGGGGTGTGGGGTGGAAGGGAGACGAAGAGACAAGTTTAGAAACAAATGTAGCTCGCCCAAGACCGTGGGGCGAGGCACAGACGAACCAGGAAGCGCTGCATGTGCCATGGGAGGGAAACGTCAGCAGCAGCAGCAGCAGCAGCAGCAGCAGCAGGCGAGGATACGCCGGGTCCCGAGGTGACCAGTTTGCAGGTCCGAGGGTCGGACGTATCCTACCGAGCGCCCCTCACCTCGCTACAGCGGCAGATCGTAGCGAGCAAGAGGAGGCAAGTGGAAAAGCTGCAGGAGGAGGAGGAGGAGGAGCACACAGAGCAGCAACTCCTCGACGTCGTTCCCTCAGACGCTCCCGGCCGGCGCTTGTCAACTATGTCAGTCCGCCCTCTCGCCAGACATTCCACCATCTTCAACTTCTTGAAACTGCCAGGAGAGTCAACATGACACTGTGGCAGCCCCCACTGTTCTTCTAGTAATCATATTTCATATCAACTTGTCAAGTCAACTAGTAAAAGTCTCACTGTCAGACTCGGCGGCTGACTCGACCACTGGCCGTGCTGATACCGTACGGTACCGTATGATCAATAAGTTAGTGAGTGACTGTCACAGTAGTACTAGTACGGTCGGGCGTGGCTTGACCTGCGGCCGGGCCAGTGACAGTGACTGCCGCAGTGCTAAGGCGGCCTGAGTGACTAGGCCCGAGGTGCGCCCCGGGGCCCGGCCCGGCCCGGCCGCGCCCGGCGACGCCGGGGCCCGGAGTCTGATTCGTCCTGGCCCGCGGCCCGCTGCCACTTTCGGGAATTCATCATGTGGGTGGGGTAGTGGAAGGAGATCAGGGGGGTAGAAGGGATGGGGTTGATCGATACGGCCTCCGTGAAAAATGCTGCCACGGGAACGTCGTGAAGCAGTGGGGGAGAGGGGAGAGAGGGGAGAGAGATGAGGAGAAAAGAGGATGAGAGGGAGAGATGGAGTGTAAGGGGTACGAGGAGAGAGCGGAGGAGTTGGGGAGGGGAGAGAGAGGAGAGAGGAGAGAGGAGAGGACTGAAGGGATAGGGAAAATTTTGGTGAGCGAGGGGATCAACTGTAGGGATGCAAGAGAGGCATTATGTGCGGTAGGACGAGGGAGGACGAACATGCACAAGGAAATATGTGTGAAGCATAATAGATTGTTGGCCTGGAGCTCGACATGTTGGTGGGATTCATACCTGACTCGTTGCAAGCAGTGTGGATATGCCGAATGATTTCCTTGGAAGTGCCCGCCACAAGAGTTTAAACCGAAGGACTTTTGCCGGAATGATCGCTCTCCTTGCGGTTAAGATTGTGAATTCGATTCCTCTTCCTCGGCCTCACGCAAGCTTGCAGCTTGAATCTTCCTCCGCATTCCATACCGCCATGGTACTGTATGAGGACCCCTCATGAAGTGGCTGATGTCTTGGGAACAGGGCAGTTTCGCCATGTTTCGAAGCAGTCGGGTTGTTCCGCAGTCGAGGTTCATCTCAGTCGTCTCTTCTGCCTTCCGTTCGCCACATGCTCTTCGTGCGCCCCACAGCAGCGCCTCCTCCCCTTCATGGTTCGGAGGACGACGCGCTGGCTGGAACGCGTTCTCCCGCCTTCGGCTGTCGGGAGGATCCGTTGACTCGGCGTCTCTCGAGACTGTCTACGTGCAGCAGTGGCTGGAGAGGAAGGTAACGCAGGCCCTCTGCGAGGCCTTCGGGGAGGAGGTGAAGGACGTCAACCCAATGGTGGCGATAGCGTCGAAGCCAGAGTTCGGGGACTACCAGTGCAACGTTGCCATGTCCCTGAGCAAGAAGGTGGGCATGAAGCCGCGGGATGTGGCAGACAAGCTGCTGCAGAGGCTCCATCCCCTCCTGCAAGACGTGTTTGAGCAGCCAGAGATCGCAGGGCCAGGCTTCCTGAACCTGAGGTTGAGGAAGGACTACATCGGAGGCAGAATCTCCAGGATGACAGAGGACGGGGAGAGGCTCGGAATCCCCAAGACCGGCAACCCCAAGAGAGTGATCGTGGACTTCTCCTCACCCAACATCGCCAAGGAGATGCACGTCGGTCACTTGCGCTCCACCATCATCGGGGACACGCTCTGTCGACTCGAGGAGTTTCTGGTGAGAAACGATGATGGAGCTAAGACGAGGAGGAGGGTCTGCAGCCTCTGACGCGTCCGAATCTTGTCAGGGTCATGATGTGCTTCGTCTGAATCACGTCGGAGATTGGGGGACGCAGTTCGGGTGAGTGAGCAGCAGGGAAGGCCAAGGATGACGAAGTAGAAGGGGGGACAGTGAAAGGGGGGTGGGAGGGGTAGGTGGTAAGTGGGGAAAGAGAAAGAACAAGAGGGATACAGCATCGGTGCAGCCAGGAGGAGGAGGAGGAGGAGGAGGAGGAGGAGACCATACCAAGACTGTGACGCATTGAGCAGGATGCTGATAACGTACTTGCGTGAGAAGGGATTTACAGCAGAGAAAGGGCTGGGAGATCTTCAAATCGGAGATCTCGTCAACTTCTACAAGCAGGCGAAAGCAAGATTTGACGAGGATGAAGCTTTCCAGGTGCCCTGCCCCTGCCCCTGCCACTGCCCCTGCCACTGCCCCTGCCCCGCTGCTTGATTCGAAGCCTTTGTCTAACGTAGTCGTGATGGCAGACAGCTTCAAGGAAGGAAGTTGTGGCCCTGCAGGTCTGATGAGCTTGACTGTCGAGGGGATCGAGGAAGGAGGGGCAGAAGGAGGGTGGGGAGGGGGACAGGGACGGGAAGAGAGAAGGCTGGGAAGGAGGGGTTGACAGGGAGAACTGATTTGGGGACTGATGGAACTTGGACTACCAACAGGCAGGAGACGCGACGTCTCTGAGCGGCTGGTCCATCCTGTGTGAGGCGTCGAGGAAAGAGTTTCAGGTGAAGACAAGCAGCGGATGTCGACTTGCTCGAGTGATGGAAACTTACCTTGAATCAGGTGGTTTATGACATGTTGAACGTGAGGTTGGAGGAGAGGGGTGAATCGTTCTACAACAACATGTTAGTACGCGCTTCCACATGCCACTCCCTCCTGCTTCTTTCTTTGCTCCTCCTCTGGTTCATCTTGTTCCTCGCATCTAGGCCTCCTACTCCCTTCCATCCTACCGTGCCTCCGTGCTCCTTCCCTCAGCCCCTTGTGTTCTTCTCCTCCTCCTATATTTTCTTCCCCACAAAGACTATCCTTCCCAGTTTTCTCTTTTGACTCATTCCTTCCAGGCTGTCCGACGTGATCAGCGGACTCAAGGTTGGAAGCATCCTTCCTACTGCCACCTTCACTCAAATGTCCTCTCCTTCATCCTGACGTGTTACCTGCAGGAGATTGAGCTTCTCAAAGAGAGCGAGGGAGCTCGGGTGAGATTTTTTCCTCCCGCAACGTGGACGATGACGCGATGTGATGTAGGTCGTCTATGTGGACGGATACAAGAACAAGGACGGCGATCCCATGCCGTTCCTTGTACAGAAGGTCTCCACTCCCCTCAAGTTCCTCTTTTGTTACATCCTCCTCTTCCTCCTCCGCCTCCTCTCCTCTTTTCTACCATCAGCAGCAGCTGCTGCTGCATTACCACCGCCACCATACTTCACGGAGCTGATAAATTGAAAATAGTCTGACGGAGGATACTTGTACTCGACCACCGACCTCGCAGGTTTTTTGCCAATCCACCACCACCACCACCACCACCACCTCCTCCTCCTCCTCCTCCTCCTCCTCCTCCTCCTCCTCCTCCTCCTCCTCCCTTCTGGTTTGTCTTCTCTCGACCTCACTGTTGAGCAGCGATCCGTCATCGCGTGCAAAAGGAGAAGGCAGACAGGATCCTTTACGTCACCGACGCGGGGCAGAGCACGCACTTCGATCAGGCGAGATGCAGTGGAAGAGAATGGAGGATGGGGGAGGACGAGGAGGAAGATGAATCAGTAGGAGATGGGGAGGAGATGGGCTAGGAGGAGATGAGTGGGAGGAGAAACGGTTGAAGGAGATAATAAGGAACAGGAATGCCTCGGTCTCATTTTCTTGCAGGCGTTTCAAGTTGCTCGCCAAGCAGGATGGGTTCCTTCCCACGTCTCGCTCGAGCACGTTCCCTTCGGCCTTGTCCAGGTCCCTTCCCTGCTCTCTTCCTGTGTTCTCATACTCCCTTCTCCCCTTGCCACCATCCCCTCCTCTGCTCTGCGGATGTAGCTATACATCCTATCGCCCTCCGCCTCCCTTGCGCATTCTTCTCCGGGTCTGGTTTAAGTAGTGCACAGGGCGAGGACGGCAAGAAGTTCAAGACACGATCAGGAGATACTGTGAAACTTCGGTGAAGCTCGGAGAGGATGCAAACACTGGAGAGGAGGGGGAGGAGGATAGAACAAGGAGAAACCCAGGAGGAGGAGAGGAGGAGGAGAAGGGGAGGGAGGGCGAGCAGGAAGTGACCAGAAACGCAGGGATCTCCTCGACGAGGCGATTGTGCGAGCAAGCAAAGACCTCAGGGAGCGATTGGAAGCAGACAACAAGGTTACCCCTGTTGCCTCCTCTTCCCGCTCCCTCCGCTCCTCCCCTCCCATGGTTTTATTCCCGTTTCCTTTTCCTGACTTGCTCCGTCAGCCCTTTACCGAGGAGACTGAAAGAACGGCGAGGATAGTTGGTCTAGCAGCGGTCAAGTACGCAGGTGAAGTTCAGGACAGCGATAGAGAGAAAAGGAGCTGATGGAAAGAGTGGAGTGTCAATGATGAACCAAAAACGGAGGAGGAGGAGGAGGAGGAGGAGGAGGATATGATTGAATATTCTTCTGACATCAGATCTCAGATCTCAGCATGAATCGAGAAAGCAACTACAGGTTCTCCTATGACAAGATGCTTGCTCTTTCAGGTGTCTCCTCCCCCCCCGTCGCCCCCTCTCATCCCTCTTGACTTCTCCATTCTCCTCCATTTCATCCTCCTCAACCTCCTTCTACAGGCAACACAGCTCCGTACATGCTTTACGCCTTCGCAAGAATCAACGGCATCCGGCGGAAGATCGGCTCCGAGATCAAGCTGGTGGGTCGCGATTCCTGTCACTCCCCTCCTCTCTTCTTCTCTCTCGCTGCCCCAGACTCCCTGCTCTTCTCCTTCGTTTCGTTGCTTCCTCTTCCTCTCCCAGCTTCCTCTTGTCCTCTCCCTCCCTGCATCCTCACCAGAGCCCTACAGGACTCCAGCTGCAAGATCATCTTGGACCATCCAGCGGAGATGTTCCTTGCAAGACACCTCGTCTACCTCCCCGAGCTTCTGCTTGACGTGCGTTGCTCCTCCCCGTTCCTCCCTCCTCCTTCGTGCTGCTCCCATCTCCTTTCCCCCCGGTCGTGCTGCTCCTCTTCCCTGCCCCTCACCTGCTAGCAGGTAGAGAAAAGTCTGTACCCTCACCGGCTCTGCGAGTACATCTTCGAGCTTTCTCAGCGATTCAATCAGTTCTACGAGAATTGTCCCGTAAGCATGCAGACACTCTATCCTCTCCCCTTATTCTCCTTCCTCCTTCCTCCCTTGCTCCTTTCCCTTCCCCTTCACTTGCTCCTCCCTCCTCCCTCCTTTCCTTCTTCACTCCCTCCTCCCTCCTTTCCTACTTCCCTCTTGTAGCTCTGCTCATCTTCCCCTTTGCCGTGCAGGTTGCAAATGCTCCTTCGGAGGAGGAGAAAAAGTCTCGACTTGCTCTGTGAGTGCCCGGGCTCGAAGCGCATCGCTGACCTTCTCTTCCAGCTGCTCCGCCACTGCCAACACCCTCCAACTCGTCCTCAACCTTCTTGGCATCGACACCGTTGAGCGGCTGTAAGCCAGGAATCCACCCTGGGAAGAAGGAGAAGAGGAGGAAGAGGAGACTGAGAGAGAGCAGGAGAGTGCAGGGGAGAGGACAGAGAGCAGGAGGAGAGAGGGGAAAGGAGGGCGGATGCTCGCATATCATAGTGGAGACCGTTGGTAGCTTCACCTGTCGTTGCTTACACGTCTATCTCCTGCTGTTGCCCGACTTCTGCTCCTTGACTCCTGCAAGACTGGAGTCGCTCCTGATGCTCAACCTGACGCCGCACATCCTCCGGCAAAACAAGAGAACAGCATCCTCCTCGTACCCTCCTCCGATAGTCCTCACACTGCAGCACCTTGTGGAGACATTTGGAGAAGGGGAAGGGGAGGAGGAGGAGAGGGGAGACGGGACAGGAGCAGAGCGAGACATGTGAAAGGAGGAGAAGAGAGAAAAAGCTAGCAGAGTGGAGGAAGAGGACGAGAAGCGTCGTCACCTTTTGCGAGTCCACGAGGATCACCTCCACAGTTTTGCTCGAGTTTGCCGGATTTGTGATTTTAGGGGGTAGGGGTAGTAAGGATGTGGGTATATGACCCTACCACATTTTCATTTTGGCTACAAACAGGGGGTATGTTATACCACCCCTTCATTTTGACCAGGACCTACAGGGGGTATGACTGGTTAGTTGGACGGGTTCATAAGTCACATAGTCAGTCAAGAGAAAATACGTGGTAGGGGTACAATCTCATAGTAGGTAGGGGTAAGAGTTTGTGTGCACCAGGAAGGCCAGGGCGCGCACCCATCGACGAGCACCAGCATCATGCAGCGCGCGCAGTTCGACGAGGAGCTTGACCTCGGCCCATCCCTTCATGATGCCGGAACAGGAGCAGAGCTGCCCTCCTCGTCCTCCCCTCTGGAGTCTCTCCTCAACATCGATGACGCTCTTAACGATGCTAGGTTTGATGAGATCGCCGTCGATGACTTGCACAACGACGATTCCATCTTCAGATTTCTCAACGACTACACACAGGAGGAGGAGCAGACTGTGATCAGACAAGTCAAAATTGACGAATACAGGTTGGTGCTTGACATGGGAGAGAAGCGTCTAGAACATCGCTTTGTCGAGAAGGCCTCTGCACAGGGTGGGCGTGTGAAGTTGGAGAGGATCGACTACTCTGGAGCCAGCAAGCAACAAGCGATTGAGGAGAGGAGGATGGTGTACGCGTACGAGAACAGCTACTGGCAGCTGTGTGAGGTCGAGGTCGTGATCGAGCCCTCAGTGCCAGGGCAGCGACCCGGCACCAAGGACATCCATGAGAGCTTCAACAAGATCGCACGCGCCGTCAAGACTGAGGTGCAGCAGTGCGGGAAGGAGAAGAGAGCGCACGACATGAGCCGGTCGGACTACAGCAACGACGTGTCGAACATGACGCTGCAGGGCGGGCTGATGACCAAGGTCACCAAGGGCAAAGGGGACAACCTTGTCAACGATTTCAAAGCGTCCTTGTTCTTGGACAGGCACGACGGTCAGTACAAGGTGTTGCTTGTGCACTGCAAGGAGGCAGTGGAAAAGTACGATGCTATCAAAGAGAAGGCGAAAGCTCGTTCGCGGAAGAGGAGGGGGACTACCGGAAGCGAGCAGGAGGAGGGGCTGGGATCAGCGAAGCGCGCTCGTGCTGAGCCTTGAGTCACCGGGATGCAGTCCAACGAGGACAGAGAAGACACACCGGAGCAAGGAGATGCAGCGAATGATTGTTTGAGTCAGACTTGATTTGTTTTGGTTCTTTTGTGATCAAGTATCCTACCACTGATAATGTTTGCATTCAGTGAAAGAAAGTGAATTGAATGCACTTTGGACAACATCAAAGGCTTGAGACTCGAAAGATGAATCGTGAGAGCTGTGGTTGTGGCACCTTGATCTTTCAACAGAACATCGTGATGATAAGTATAGTGATGGTGATGACCCGGTGAACTTCGTAAAGTAATCCTGATCGGATCCGATCATCGGGGCACTGCAGTGACTTGTGAAAGTTCAACGGTTAGCCGCTGAGCTGCATTGACGAGTGTTTCATGACGGAGAGTCCGAGGTCTCGACGAGTCGTGTGGGAGTGCTGACGCTCCCAGCCTGCCTCTGCCATCTGAGACTATTCATGACGAACAGTCTGAGTAGTACTGTCCGGGCCGCCGGACCGTGGGTGGCGGCCCCGGCCAGTCGGTGGGCAACTTGAGATAATCCTCAGGGGCCTTCAAAGTTAGTTACTAAGAATGTGCCCCCCCCCCCCCCCCTCCCCCAACCCCCTGGCTCCGAGCCGCGTACTCAGTGACTCCGGGCTCAGTAGCCGCTAGTCGGACCGGCTACTAGCGGCCGGCGGCCGGGCCCGGTCTCCGAGACCGTACGGTTCAACGGTTGCCTGAAGTTCGGCATTACCTGAGGCAGGCCTGCAAAGTCGGCAATCTCGGGGAGATGAGGCCGTAGGAGCATGAGAAACTTGACGGGGTGGAGGAGCAGGAGCAGGAGCAGGAGCAGGAGCAGGAGCAGGAGCAGGAGCAGGAGCAGGAGCAGGAGCAGGAGCAGGAGCAGGAGCAGGAGCAGGAGCAGGAGCAGGAGCAGGAGCAGGAGCAGGAGCAGGAGCAGGAGCAGGAGCAGGAGCAGGAGCAGGAGCAGGAGCAGGAGCAGTGTGTCTTGACATACCCTCACTCCATCCGAACTGAAGGCTGCAGCTTGTCTGAGTTGGTTGAGATGTCAGCGAGCCATGTGAAGCAGGAGGGCACGCGAGGTAGCACGCACGATGAAGATCTCGTTCCGAACGTGGAAGGAGGAGGAGGGGGAGCAACGGGCAGATCGCACTTAGCGGCGGAGAAGGAAGCGAGAAAGAGAACTGGGCAGGCGAAGAAGAAACGGTACGATCTCCCTATTCGCCTCATCAAACAACTCTTGTCGGATCCTGCACTGCATGTTCCAGCTCCATCCAAGGTTCGCCGCTCTCGGCAGGCTGTCCTCCTCCTTATCTGCGTGAGACAGGAGGGATATCGTAACAAGGCTCTGTACGGACTTGACACCTGCGAGACAAGGTGAGGGCTCGATCGTTGCTGAGTTCGGTGATCGGCCGTCCTGGCAGTATCCTGGTCAATCCTACGGTCAACGGAGCGTGTAAGGTTGTGTTTGAGTTTGTATGTTCGCGCTCCAAGCTCAAGAGAAGCTTCTGGCTGGACGTCTCCTGCAAGGTGAGCGCAGTGCCTTGCGCTCGGACTTGATGAAGGTCTCGCAGATCACGATAGGGGGCGACATCATGATGAAGGTTGCAGTGGACGAGGAGGCAGGACGGGAGGAGGAGCCCAAGTTCGATGAGGTAGGAGCATGTAAACCCTTGTGGCCTTCTCGCTCATGCCATGTCGAGGTGTGGAGGGAAGAAAAGAGCTCGCTGATCGACCTCCTCCTCCTCTTCTCCCCTGCCTTCAAGTGCATCGCCGTCCACAGGAGCAGGCGACGGGGAGTCAAGCCCACCAAGGAGGAGGAGCATGAGATTATCTATGGTGATCCGTACGTGATGGAGAAGACGCCCAACGGCATATCGTTTGCGCTCTCGCCCGATACGTTCTGTGAGGTCAACCACTACATGGAAAGGCACGTCTTTCACTTCATCAACCACTCCTGCCAGGAAGCTTGCGCAGCCCTTGTAAGTTTGCCGCCGCTGCTGCTGCTGCTGCTGCTGCTGCTACTGTTACTGGAGCTTGAGCTGCTGGTGCTGTAGTTGCTGCTGGTGCAGCTACTTTTCCTGTCTTCTCTTTGCTTTTTCCATTCTGCCATTGTGCTGCACGTGTCCTGACGTCTCCCGTTGCTCGCAGAAGGCCAAGGACGGAGGTAGCAGACCTCTGCTGCTCACCATGGGGAGAAACATCAACTCGCTCTCTCTCGGCCTCATGTCAGCCGGCGGGTTTGCTCGGGTTGTTTCTATCACGCACTGCCCACTGGCTCACAGAGACCTGGAAATCAACCTGAAGGAGATCCCCGGCTTGATCTCGGGAGACGACAACCTCCTCGTCCGGCAGAAGAACAAGATCGGAGAAGCGATCATGCAGGTGCGAGGCCCCCGGATCGATGGAGGGGAAGGAGGAAAGAGATGTGGGAGCTGGGGGGACGGAAGGGAGTGGGAGAATTGGGGGAAGAGAGCGAGCGTGAAGGAGGGAGGGAGGAAGAGGGTGGAACAGGGAGGGAGGGGACAGAGGGGAGGGGTTGGGAGAAAGAGAGTTGGAGAGGAAGAGGAAGTGTTCCGTTGCCTGTTTGCCTGTTTGCTCTTTCTGTGATTTTGCTCGAACAGCTTCCGGACGATTGTCCGATCGTTGTGGCAGTGACTGCGGGACGAGGAGGCTTGCATGCAAACACGATCGTTGCACTGAAGAAGAAGAAGAATGTCTGCACTGTCGTGTATGACGCCTGTAACAACCCAACACTGGTGAGCAAGCCGATGATGTGATTGGAGTCTGTGTTGCTGTCTTACTGTCTTGTTCTCACCTCCATCTCTTTACCAGACAAGAGATCTCTGCGATCTTGTGGACGACTTTGACTACTGTATTGCCAACTTTCGATCTTTCGACTTCTTCCCGCAAACAGAATTTATGGCGTCTGTAGCCAAGTTGGACCGAGCAAGGTGGGAAAAGGGGAAGGGAAGAGAAGGGAAGGGGAGGGAAGGGGAGGGAAGGGGAGGGGAGGGGAGGGGAGGGGAGGGATGGGAAGTAACTCGCAAGAGCAGGAAGACTCTCATCTTGCCCATCGGGCCCTCAGGCATCGGCAAATCGAGTCTGGCAAGAAAATGCTTGGGCAGCTTCCCCGTGCAGACTATGAGACACATCGAGCGAGATGCTCTGTTTGCGCAAGAGAGAGCACGGTGATTTTCTCTTCCTCCTTATATCATGTCTCTCCTCTCCTCCTCATTCCCTCTCCATCCTGTTTCCTGTCTCTCCTCCCCCCTCTCCTCCTCCATCCCTCCTGTTTCTCTCCTCTCCTCTCCTCCTCTCTCCCTCTCCCTCCTGTTTCCTCTCTCTCAACTGTCCTTTTTCTCTCCTCTCCCCCCTTAGATCACATCTGATGCGTTTTGATACCAGTGAGACGGAAAGTGCACTAGCAAAGAAAGATCATCTGCTGAGCATCTCTGCTATCTCCTCGCCCATTCCTCCATCCCTTCTCTTCACACTCACTCAGCATCTCCATCTCGATTTTCTCCCTCCCTCCATCTAGTCTCACTCTCTCATTCAGTCCGGATGCCACGCTGGCAAAGGCGAAGCAAGCGACGCACGAGGCGATGCTGGCGCAGCTGAGAGAGGAGACGCGCCTCCTTCTCCTCGACAGCACCAACGGAGACCCGCAGGCTCGCAGGCTCTACGTCCTCACGTCGGGGGCCGAGCGAGTCGTCGCCGTCAACATGCAGATGCGGCATGAAGGAAGAGCTTCCTTTCTGCTTGCCGAGGATGACGAGGACGTGCAGGAGGAGAGGTCCCTTCCAGCCTGATGGAGGCGACGATGAGAAGGACAAAGGTGGAGTTGGAGGTAAGACAGGGAAGAGGGGGAGGGAGGCTGACCGGTGGGCAGGAGGGCAGGCATCCGTCGTTCCCGCTGGAGGAGGAGAAACAGAGGGCCAAGCACGCAAAGATACTCGAGGGGCTGCAGTACGCGGAGGCGTCGGAGATTGAGGAGGTGAGAGTGAGAGGTGACGGGGGGAGGAGATCACAAGCGCGTTCAGGTTCCTATCGCAATCGTCGACGTCGAGCAAGAGGCGAGTGAGGAGGAGAAGAATGAGCTCGTGCTAATGTGGGGTGGGGCAGGAGGACGCAGAGGAAGTGACCTTCGCCGTCTTCCTGAAAGTTTTCTCCTTCCTGTGAGGACCAAAGGACCAGTCTCATCATGTCGTTTCTATCATCACCCTTCTCAAGATTATACGTAAACCCACGACCCGTCCACCCTCCTCTCCTTGAAGAGACAGACACCCCACCTGTACATCTCGTCAACAAGTGTTCTCGTCCTTCCCACCCTCCCTCCCTCCCCCGTCTCCCTCCCACCTCCTCCTTCCCTCCCTTATATGGTTCTGCTTCCTCTGCTTCGACCCATTTTCTGCTTCTTCCATCCCCAACCACGCCACCACCACCACCGATGTTACTTCCTCCTCTCTTTCCTCCCCCCTCCTCCTCTCCAACCTTGACTTGTCGTTAGCTGTGTAGCACCATGGCCTTGCCGAATAATCCGTCGTGCAGGCAGTCTTGCATGTGTCTCCAGGTAACGACGTCCCTCCTACTTCAACATCATCCTCCCATCATCGGGCGCGCCTGTCACGCACCTGCCACCTCCACCTTGCATGACGCAAACGTCGTCTGCTCCCTGTCGGTGAAGCACCACAGGTTGCCGGGCACGTGCGTCCCGTTGGGCGTCGGGCCGTCGACACAACTGCGTCAAGTTTGAGCGAGGAGTGAGGAGAGTCCAACGGACGGCAACCTTCCGTAAATCTTGCCCTCGTACAGGAAGGGAAAGCTGCAGGATGTCGCGTTGTCGTCCTCCTCGCCTTCCTCCACCTGTTCACAGCCCCGTCAGACATGGCAGGAGTCAGCCTCCTCCCCCTCCTCACCTCAATGTACTGTTCGCAGTTTCCCCATCTCGTCTGCTCCTTGTCGGCATAGCACCATGGAGCATCTCGGCCCTGTCACCCATCAGCCCCCCCGCCATGCCCCTACGACTTCCCAGCTCCTCTCACCTGAGTTGTGCACCTCGTGAAGATCTGATCGTTGAAGTAGAAGGGAAAGTGGCAGTATCGATCCGTGGGCAGAGTCGACCCGCCAAACACCCTGATCTCCCCCAGAGGCAAAGCCATCACTCCCTACCCCAAAATCGTCACTTGCATCGGCTCAACTTCTCGTCCCTCCTCTACCTCTTTCCCAGGCAAGCCCTTGTGACCGTCTCGTCCAGGTCTGCCCCTGTACCCCACCTGCCTCATGGGTCAGCAAGGGACCTTTGCCTCCCTCCCCTTCAACTCACCTCTCCTCGCGCTCCGATGTTGCCCAGCGGTCCGGGGGAACCAGGATACCCGCGTGGACCAGGAGGCCCTGAGATCCCGGGAGCACCATAGGCTGGAGCCGGTTTACCGGGAGGCCCTTGGAAGCCTGCACTGGCGTCATCCTCCTTTACCAACCTGCCCGTCCTGACACACCGTCTGGCCCAGGTCGTCCAGGTTTTCCCTCTCGTCCTGGCATTCCTGGAGTTCCGTCCTTGCCGTTGTATCCGGGAGTTCCATCCCTATAAGCAGCTCTCAGCCTCCCCTCCTCACTCCTCCTCCTCTGTCAACCTGCCCATGGCGCCGATGGGACCTGGCATCCCATCCTGGCCATCTCGCCCTGCCGCCCCCTGCCTCCCTGGCAGCCCTGGAGGTCCTGGAGGGCCAGTCTCTCCCTGGCACAACAGGACGTGAGCGCTCACTGAGATCATCGGCCTCATCCCAGCTCACCTTGGCACCCGGAGGCCCCTTAGGCCCTGGCTCGTAGCTCGGGATCCCATCTACTCCATCCAACCCGGGGCTTCCTGGAACTCCCGGCGGACCCTCTGCTTTCACCGCGTCAGCCCTCCGTGCAAAGAGCAAGTGCGGGGACAGGACCTGGGCCAGCAACCTTGGAAGGGATCCCTGGCTTGCCGTCTATCCCTGGAGCTCCTGGCTCTCCTACTCCTAGATCAGCAGGCGACCAGGCAAGCATCGAAACAGACTTACCTGGCGGACCCTCCGGGCCAACTGGTCCTGACTCGCCGGGGTACCCAGGAGGGCCGATGAAGCCAGGAGAACCTCTCGGCTTCTTGGCCTCAGAAACCTGCAAGGACAAGGAACCGTCAGGTCTACTCCACGTCCTGACTCAGCTTTACCTCGTCTTCCAGGTGATATTGCCTCTTTGCTGCTCGGTTGATCAGAACCTGGAGCTCGCCGAGTAGGCGATAGATCCTTTGGGAGTAGCTCAGAACTTCCTCTCCACGAGGGTTTGGTCCAGGGCATTCGGGACCACCAGGCCCTCCACAGTGCGGCCCTGGCGCTGGAGGAGGAGGTGGTGGTGGCAAAGGTGCCCCCACAGGTCCGTTATGGATTGAGTCGATGATGGACTGCAGACGATTCATCTTGTTTTGCATGAAGTTGTACTCTCTAACATCCTGATCCCCCTCTGAGTACGCAAACTGTCTGCCCATCCCGTGGTCGATCATGTCGTTCGGCACATCGTTTACATGCGGCACCGTGTAATCGTTGAGCAACTCCTCCACCGCATGTGCGCTTCCATCTTCTCTTCTCCCAGAGGACCGGAGGAACAAAATGGCACATGACACGGAGGCAAGCAAGACAAGCATCAAGGCTGCTGTTCTCTTCCTCCCTCCCATCCTCCTTCCCCTGCCCCCGCCTGCCTCCATTCCACGCCCCTTCGCAGACCGTTACGTAGACTCAGAGCACGTTACATACCGGCCTGCAGCTGCCGGGCGGGATGTGGGATGACTCTGTGACCGACCGTCGGACAGTGACTGAGGCGCGGCCCGGTCACCGCCTCACCTCAGGGCCTGCCACCGTGACCGACACCGCACTGCGCGGCCGCGGCCCGGTCACCGGGCCGCCGGGCTCAGCCGTAGTTGAGAGTCCCGGGCCCGTGCGGCCGCGGCCATTGTGATGGCCCCTGCCAGGCTCGGCCCCACGGGCCCGGGCCGGGCCGGGCCGGCCTTGCCGCTCCGCCGGAGCGGGCTGTAGTACTGATTACAATTAGTAGTGGATTCAGGCTTCGAGGCGGGCACGATCCTCCCGGCCACTTTGACGCGTCACCGCTTGGAACCTCATCCCCACTCACACAGGATCATCAGTACCCCCTTCTCACAGACCAAAAGTACCCTACCGATGGTCATTCCATCACTACCCCTTGGCTATACACCCCAATCACTTGGTACATACACACCCTACCTCCTCGTACACCCCTGCCTCTTGCGTCCATTCCTGCCAACCCTTCGGGACACCAGGGGTCATCTGTACCCCACCTTCGATTTCTCCTTGACTACCCCAAGTCAGAGCACATGTCGTGGGGTAGGTACCCTCGCATCCAGGTTTCAAGAAAAAGTCCGAAAATAACTCAGCCCACCCCTTGGCAGACCCTATGGTCCCCCACCCCAATCCACCAAAAAAAAATTGGACCCCTACCCACACAATTCGCTCGATCAGCTTCTCCACCCCTACGCGTCTAAAAGGTCTCTTTACTGGAGGCCGAGCAGGCCAGCACGTTTCTCTTTGGAGAGATTTCGCTCATTCCAAAACCAGTTTCTCAAAAGTTGATGCAGAAATTGAAAATGTTTCCTCTCACACCCCCTCTTTCAAGTTCAAAAACACCCCCAATCTTTGGAATTTCATTTCCCACTTTCTCTCAATGCCCCTTTTCTTCCCTCGATAACAAAAAAATCACACGAAAATTTCCACCACCCCCACCCCCACTACCCTGCCCTTCATTGACACCCCGAGGTGTCGATCATAGCCACCCCTGGTCACTAACGTATACTACCCCTACCCGGAAGAAAACTTAGACCAGTCCCACCCCCACCCATTCTTCGGAGGGTCATCGGGGATACCATTGCGTTCCGTTCGCCTCCGGAAATAGAAAATATTTCAGGGCAAGGGAGACTTTCATTCCTTTGCAACTTGGCGCCCTCTCCACCATCTATGAAACAGGTACCACCCCATGGCAGACGACCTTGAACAACATGCACCTACCCCTACTTCCGATTGAGAATAATTTCTAATTGGCACATAAATGTTGAATCAGACATACCAGTCCCTGTCACCAACCATTCCACCAGGTACCGTTCCGGTCAATACCCATCGGCAGAGTTATTAACGCCAACTTGGTTTCTTTCCGAGCACCCTACTCTCCTCCGAACATCACGCGATATGGTTGGGGTCCTGGCACCTCGAGGTCCAGGGAGAGCATACGTCTATCAAGGGTGTTGAAGGAGGGGGTCCAAAGAGAACTCATTGGTTTCAGTAGGGTAGGTTGTATTTAGTGAAGAGACAGTCGCTGAGGGGGTGGGGGTGATCCAGGGGGTGGGTGTTGAGAACACATTGGGTGGAGATGTAATAGAATTATCTCAGGGGGTAGGGGTACAGGGGTGACATAGGGGGACTGGATGGGGTCATGGGTGCTACAATAGGGGTAGGGGTGCGAAACGGGAGGAAAATGTTGGGTACTGCTATTGAAGTAGCCCGGGGTAAGGTAGGGTGGGGGCCTGAAAATGTAGAATACGGGGGTGGGGGACTCAGACTTCAGGATTTCGGCGTGTAATACTAAAACCTATTAGATAAGTTCAAAAGTGATGGGGCAGTGCATTAGATTACAAGGGTGACTTGATGCAAAGCTGAGGGGTCCTTGCACAATTTGGAAGTGTTTTTACAAAAGTATCCAGCATTTTTGAAATTAGTAAACTAGGGGTAGGGGGTACTGAAACTAGCTAGGCCGACTGATTTCAACTGTAGGGGTGGGAATTATGATTTCGAGGGTAGGGATGAAAAAGCTGGGGTAGGGGGTAGAGTTTTGGGGGGTAGGGGTACTGCGTTTTGCCACCGCACGCGCCCGCGGCTGCACTCCTCATGGCGTGAACGAAGTTGGATGACGATGATAGAGGACTTGATGCAGAGTTTTGTTTCATGAACAACACGTACAATGATAAGAGGATACGTTTGTCAAGCACATGGTAGGAGGCAGCATGCGATAGTGATGAGGTTGGAGATGTTTGTTCCGAACAAGCAATCAAGCTGGAGCTTCGTAAATGGGGTCAGGTCAAGATTTTGCGTGATAGTGTGGAGCAAGAGCTTGATGTCAATGGGAGTATTTGACATCCGGAACAAGGTTCGAAGGTTGCAGTGTCTACGTGCCAGGATGTATTGGTGTTGTATTGCCTGTTTTCGAGAAGAGAGATAGACACAGATTCGCAGGAGGTTCTTGTGCTTGTGCTCTGTTGTCGTTCACACATGATCTGTAATCGAATTTTGTTATGATCCAATCATGATGATTCAAGGAATGTTGTTGAGCAGAGCTTTCATCCTTAGATCTTGACACCCTGTGACATGAAACCTGTGGGTTGCTCCCTTGTTGCCCATCGTTGAGCACAACTGTTTTGTGGATTACATTCTACTATCAGATTTGTTGCAACACACCACTGATGTGGATTTCTTGTTACAGAAAGCGAGCCCGAATCGACCCCTAAGTCACATTCAGTTCAAACTCGAAACCAGGTGCATGATTCTTTCCCTTGATGAACATGTTCTGATTTTTGAAAGCAGCAAATTTCTTGGCACTACTCAGCTTGACTGGTTGTTTTCCTTGATCAGAAATTCTTCATCTAACAGTTTGTAATTCCAGAGTATCTTCTTGCTTGGTGTAGGTACCGAAACTCCGGAGATCTACCCTAGCCTCCACTCGTTCCTTCGCAATCAAACTTGAATATCTGTCTAAGACCAACTTCATAACGATGGCCACTAGCAAAGAAGCTCAACCTCAAAACGGCGCTCAAGATGCTAAGAATGCCGCTACCAAGAAACTTGAAGGCGAGGAACTGAAGGAAGCGATTAAGAAGCAAGTTGAATATTATTTTTCACGGGAGAATCTCTGCCAGGACACGTTTTTGGTCAGCAAAATGGACGCGCACTATTTTGTTGATCTTGCAGTCATTGCAGATTTTCAGAAGGTGAAGCACTTGACGGAGGACAGCGCCTTGATTCTTGAATCGGTTAAGGACTCCGACAAGGTTGTTGTAGATACTGGAAAGCAGAAGATCAAGCCTGTTGCCCTGAACGCGAGGACAACACTTATCCTGCGTAACATTCCCACCTCGGCCTCTGAGGATGCAGTTCGTGCTTTGATCACTGGTGACAAATGGCCGAAGATTGTGAACGTGAGGTCTGATGTCGGCGATAACTGGTTTGTTTCGTATGAGACTGAGGAATGCACCAAGTCTGCGCTCGAACTCGCCAAGGGTTTGAAATGGGAGGGCAAATCGATTTCATGCGCGATCAAGAGCGAGAGCTTGCTTAAGAGCCTTGCTCCTGGATCGCCTCCCAAGGTGAAAATCCAATACATGATACCATCTGCGTTGACGGGTCGAACTCTGTCAGGGGGGAGTGCCTAATGTGTATTATGGGCCGACTTACGTCAACTCAAACGGAGCTTATTTTCCTTACCCTCAGGATCAGGGATTTATGCGTCAGGGACGTGGTAAGGACGATGCCAGAGCTTTGTTCAGGAGTAACAAAGGTTGCTCAGATGGAGTTGATGGGAACGGAAGGAACGGTGGTAAGAGGAACAAGGGCAAGGGTCGTAACAATAAGCATCAACGTAAGATTGGTTTTGGGTTGCTCCCTAGCGTCCTAACAAGAACAAGCAGAAGGAAGGGAAGGCCATAACCAAACTGAGAAGAAGGAGCTTGCACAGCAAGCGCCCATCAATCTTGCTGATTTCCCTAAGCTCGAGGGCTCATCGAAGAAGGCGACCGGTTACAGGTGCGCTGTTTTTGTCAGGAAATGTATTTTTCTGACATGTTGGTGTTCGCAGCAAACCTTATAAATCTTACAGCAAGGACGAGATCGTTGACATAATCCGTGATACCAAAGTCGATGGGGCCATCAAGGATAAGGAGTCTCCATTCCTCGAGACTCGCGACCTGAAGATGGAGTGCGACAAGACCGCTGATGACTTCAACAACCAGACCAAGCATGCTGAAACAAGAATGGACATAACGAGGCATCCAACAATACTGTTCCATCCAATGACAAGACTGAGAGCAAGGACAAGTCTCCCCCACCAAAGGCGACTCCCAAGGAGGCCCCAGCCGTGAAACCTGCCAACGGAGACGCTCCGGCTCCTGCGCCAGCTCCTGCTGCTCCAGCTCCTGCTCAGCCCAAGAAGCTTTCTTATGCACAGATGGCAAATGGGAACCGTCCAGCTGCTGAGGCTTCGACCTAAACACACAGTCAGGCTCAGATGTCTCTAGGTTTAGTGTGGTCGTTACTGAACTGGAGTATATGAGTGAGCGGATTCACAGGATCGTCAAACATGTGCTATATGACCAGAAAATCTTATCTCAAAATCTCAGAAAAAAACAAAAACAAATGGAAACAGGAGTTTGTTGATGGTACTAAAGCTGGGCTGGATCCTCGGCAGGTATAACTAACAAGGATCGTTGGCTCTCAAGAAATTGCTGACCTGAGCGGGCTTAACTGGATGGAGCATGGCTGTTGCAGTGATTTTCTGTGGAAAGATTATCACAATATTTTTCGTTGCATGGATTGATTTGATGCGGAGGTTGTGAAAAGAAACGATCGTGTTGCAATTGTTTTCTTTCGACGACTATTGGAATGGTGATCGTCTTTCAATCTGTCAAATTGATACGTCTAGGGGTGTTCTCTAGGTCTTTCAGAATTGTTTATCATCGTTTATTACATTGCTGATTTGTTCGTATCTGGTTGTGATGAAACTTCCGGCGAGTGACCGTTCTGACGCTGACGGAACTTCGGAAGTGTCCAGTAATATTCAGTGACGACGGTCATCACTCACTCCCAACCGTTAGATTTCTCTGTCCATACGATTCCGACACTGCTTCCGTGTCACTGACGCAGCCCTGTGACCCGGTAGCGCTGCTTGCGCTTCCAAGTTCCAGACCGTGCCACAGAGTCAGACCGTACCGTGACTTCCGAGCGAGTTCGGGCCCCGGGCCGGCCCGGGCCCGGGCCTCGGCAGTGCCGGCAACGAGTCTGAGTGAAACTCGGCCAGGAGTCTCCTCGATGTTTCACCGGGGCCTCATGTAAGCGGACTGGGGGCCGATAAACCACTACCCTACCCCCCCATTTTCTCATCCCTTACCCCCTCTATTTACAGGACATGTACCTGACCGATCCACACGGTACCCCCTTGCTGGAAGCTTTTCTCATGGCTGTCAAGTAAGACTATTTCATAAGTCCAGCAATAGGAAAAACGAGGAGGTGTAGCACACCACCTTTCAAACATGGTCCTATCACCTCCTTTTCAGGTACATACGACCCCCTACCCCTGTTGGAACCTTGTTCACCCCTAGGAAAGGATTCGCTACCCTGCCCGCCCCTTTTCCTGCTCCTCTTGTGCCGTCCTCCGTTCGTGACTTTCCGTCCCATCCCCAAGACCCTCCCTTCTCTTATTGTTGACCTCCTCCTCATCTCTCCTCCTCTCTCCTCCTCCCTCCTCCCTCTTCCACCTCCTCCTCTGGCTGAACTTGATCCTGCTGAATTTATCCACCATATTCTGTTCTGAGCGAAATCTTGTCCATCGTTTTTTGTCACCATGTTTGCCTGGAACACAAACAAGCTTTCACAGAGGGCATTTCTTGCCTGCCGTGGCCTCGTCAAACACCAGATGTGCTTGTCGCAAGTCCGTTTGATGTCATCAAAACCAGAGATCAAAAACGATTGGACGTAATACCCCTCCAAAGCTTCTCTGTTTTTAGGACTAACTTTGGTTACAGGAAGGAGGAAGTTGCTGAGATCTACAATCGTCCCCTGATCAATTTGATTTTTGACGCTGCTTCAGTGCATAGGAAGTTTCACAACCCCCGTGAGGTGCAGCAGGCCACGCTTCTCTCGATCAAGACAGGAGGTTGCATCGAGACATGCTCCTATTGCAGTCAGAGCAGCAGCTGGAGCAAAGACACCAAGATGAAGGCAGAGAAGCTTCTCGAGCTCGATGACGTGTTTCAGGCTGCCCTCGATGCCAAGGCAGCAGGAAGCTCTCGTTTCTGCATGGGGGCTGCATGGAGAGGCCCCTCGCAAGTTGGGCCGAAGCAGTTTGAGCGCGTGCTGGACATGGTATCCAAAGTTCGGTCTCTTGGAATGGAGGTTTGCACCACTCTCGGGATGCTGACGGAGGATCAAGCGAAGCAGCTGAAGCATGCAGGCCTGAGCTGCTACAATCACAACCTCGATACGAGTAGGGAGTACTACTCCGAGATCACCAGCTCCAGAACTTACGATGACCGCCTCGACACTCTCCAGAAGGTCAGAGACGCTGGCATTAGTGTCTGCAGCGGAGGAATCATTGGCATGGGAGAGAAGGAGCTGGACAGAGTCGGCTTGCTCCACATGCTTGCTACTCTTCCAGAGCACCCCGAGTCAGTTCCCATCAACGCCCTTGTGCCGGTTGAAGGAACTCCGCTGGCCAAGAAAGACATTAAAGGACCAACGGGTTTGGAGATGGTCAGGTGTGTTGCCACCGCCAGGATCATCATGCCCAAGTCCATGGTCAGGCTGTCAGCAGGGAGGATGGACCTTTCCATCGCTGAGCAAGCACTCTGCTTCATGGCTGGAGCAAATAGCATCTTTGCAGGAGACAAGTTGCTCACTACCCCCAACGCCGAGAGGTTAGAAATGCGATCACCGATGTCCTCTAGTTGCCTTACTCGTTCCAGGGATTCTGATGCTGAGATGTTCACGGCACTGGGCCTCTTGAACAAGCCAGCCTTCAATGGCGAGGAGGAACCCTTTGAGATTCCTCCCACTCGTGAAGAGTCGATCAGGAGGAGAGAGGAATGGCAAGCTCTAAAGAATGTGTCGGCCTCAGGCAAAGGATGTGAGGCCATTAAGACATCGGCATAAGGAGCTTGGGCCAATTCCTCATGTGTTTAATTTGCAACGTGGAGAGTGAGTACCCGACATCATAATCTTGGGTCTCCCTACCTGTATTGAGATGTTGTCCAGACAGAAAGAAATACAAGTGTGCGATGGTTCTGTTTTCGGGGAATTCACGCGATTATCAAATTATTCAAAGAATTCGGGTACATGAAGAACGAAAAATGTCCAACAAGCACATGAGCATTACGACTTGTTGATGTTCTTTACAAGCCACTCCATGCCTCCCTGCAGCCCCTCACCGGTCTTGGCAGAGCATGGCTGGATGTGCCAAGCACGATCCCTGATGTTGGTGAGGCCGAGAACCTCAGTCACCTGGCAACAAATTCAGTCGCACAGTCAAAAATCATTCGGCCATGGACACACCTCATCTGGTCCCATTGCGTTCATCAAGTCCTGCTTGTTCGCAAAAATGAGCAGGGGAACACCAGCGAGCTTCTCCTCATCCAAGAGCTGGTTGAGCTCAACACCCGTCTCGTCCATTCTTCTGTGGTCAGAGCAATCGATAACGAAGACCTGCACTAGTATTAGACATACGATGGCTCACCAGCCTGATTTCCATACCAGTGCATCAGTCTGATCGAAATAATTCCTCCAGTAAGGACGAATGGTCTTCTGACCTGATAACCGCCATTGGTCAGACTGAACGTGGTCAAAATGAAGCTATCTCAGTGCAGACAGGCAAATCAAGCAATGAGATGGCAAATCAAAGTAATGAGATGAAGAATACCTCCAATATCCCAAACATTCAACTTAAATCCCTCATGGATAACAGACTTGATGTTGAAGCCCTGGGTTGGCATGGTGTGGGTGATATCCTCGTCGGCTAGCTTCTTGAGTGCCGTGGTCTTTCCCGCATTATCCAGACCAAGGACAAGAATGCGGAACTCCTTTTCCGACTTCTTTAGCTTCCTAAGCAACGTGAGAAGACCCATTCTGTGCTATGTAAGTTGGGAACGTAAAACTGTTGGTGTTCTCCCTTAGGTCGATCTGACACAAGCAAGTACGCGAGCAGCGAACTTGAATAAGGGGGAGCGAGGAGGAAATGTCACGGGAGACTGTGGGAAGGACAGCAAGGGGGAAGGGAGGGAGGGGGAAGCAGGAACGGTAACAAAGGGGAAAGAGAGGACAGGGCAGCAAAAGCTGCGGCGGCGATGCGATTTGAATTGAGAGGGGGTAGTTCAACTAGAATGAAGGGGTACTTGTACCAAGGGGTAGCGTATGTGGCAAGCCGAGGATCTGGGGTGGGTCATTCTTATGCCTTGGGTGTGCCGGGAAAGGTGGGTAAAGTTCGGTCATGGCAGGGGTCATGAGAGTACGGGTAGTGTTCCCTGTGGATGAGAGGGAGGGGTATAGGCAAGTCAAATGCCCCACCAGGGGTGCTTGCGGGGGTGGTAGCGATTATTCGTTGGCGGTTGATCAGGGACTAATCAGAGGGGTAGGGTAGTCTGTAGCAAGGGGTGGACACCTCCTCAAGGGGTGGTTGACGTCAGGTAGGGGTAGATGACCCTCGGATTTGACTTGTCGGTTTTAAAGTGCTTGCATGAGAAGGAGAAATAGGGGGTGGGGTAGGACATTGAATAAAAGTTCTTGGTAGACCAGAGGGGTTCAATTATCATTCGTAACAAAAAGATCTCTAGGGTAGGTACATTCGAGGCTGGCCAGGGGTACATGTGAGTCACTGGGGGTATAGTACCCTACCCCTCCGTTAAAGTTCAAAGAATCCAACGCTTTCATCCAGACCACTGTACCCACCCCTACCTCCTAGCCTCCCGACCATCGAGCGCTCTGGGTCCAATTTGTGCAGAAAGAATAATCGTCTCAGATTTTCAAAATCTGTACAACATTTTCATTTGATACCAATGTACAGAACTTTATAAAGGTTTTGTTAAGATTGTACCAGAACACTATAATTTTTTTTCAAGTCTTAGATAATAAATGTTTGTACCAATATGTCGATTATAATCAAAATAAAAAATCAGAATATTTCCAGCATATTCAATTGTATTCGAAGAAAATTGAACTCTTGACAAATACTTTGAAATGGAACAAGAGTCCCGATATAGAACGGGCGGCGCAGTATGGCGGAGGGGGCGAGTGCCTTGAAAGAGGTAAAGAGCGCATGAGCATTGAGTCATCATAGAAGTCTCGGCTCAACTCGTCATTGTGATCGTTCTGTACATAATCGTCATGTTTCTGATGTTTGTTGTGCTTTGACTCTCAACGACTGCTTCTCTTGGTTCCGCTCTGCCTCTACTTCTCGTTTTCACCATCTTGGGCTGCTTTATGGAGCGCGTCATCGAGAGCAATTTGGTGGTGCTGACGCATGATTTGATCTAGGGGAGTATGGCGAAGGGGTTTTGGCACAGAGCAATGAAAACCTGGACACTCCTGTCTGCGTTGGTCCTTATTGTTGGGTGCATTGCGCTTTCAACACGGGGAATCGACATGAGAACGAAAGAGGTTCTTGTGATTGTTGATTACGATCTGGTTTCTGCTGAGTTTGAAGCTTGCAGGACAAGCTTAGCCTTCTTCAGTCTTCGCGCATTGATCAAATGCTCATGGATTTGTCAGCAGTGACCAAAGAAAGCAGCGACGATGTGAAATCGATGAAGGAGAAGATAAAGCAATTGAGGAAACAAGCAGAGGACGAGAGATCCAAAGCGGCAAATTGGGACAAGACTGTACGAAAGCAGGAGACTGGCCTGAAGAAGAAACTGGAGAAAGCCAAAGATGATGAGTTGCTTTCGTCACAAGATGAAGACTTGGCTCAAGAAGATGTTGAAAGAGCCTCAAAGATGAGGAAGCGAGCGCAGAGGCTCAAGGATGAAAGTGATGCCGCGCGTCGCAAATTTGTTGCACAAGAACATCCGATCGAGATGGCTACGAAGCTGGCAGGACATGATCATAAGGAGTATAGAAGGGCTGAGTTGGCTGTGGCTAGCGAGGTAGCAAAACTCTCGGAACACCCGAATGACTCTGCGCTGCGAAAGAAAGTTGACCATCTTGTGAGCATTTCAAAGAAAGCGAAGGCAAGAATGGAAGATGATGGCAAACTCCTGAAGAAGCTGGAGAGCAAAACAGCTGACGCTGAGCTTGGAGGGCAACGAGGTTATGCACACTTGAGAGCGAAGAGTGTGGAGATTGCCAAGCAGGCCGAATCTGTCGCTGAAAATGCTGTCTCTTTGGCAAAGCGAGGAGAAAAACTCAAAGCTGCAGCAAACAAGATCACTGAGAAGGTTGTGAAGGATCTCAAGGTCCCCGATGCTCTCCACCTTCGTGCGCAAAAAGAGCGAAAGGCGTATAAAGCGCATATGCTTTTGATCCGTCGTTTGCAAGCCAAAATTGACAAGTACAGCAATGACATGGACAAAAAGAAGAGTCACACTGCAGAGGAGTCTTCAGATGAGAAATATGATGAAGAGCGAACTGAGTTGGAGAAGATCGCAAACGGATCAAGCGACTCGAAGAAGAGGAAATCTCAAGGTCACTCTTCGGAAGTGGAGCAGCTGGTTGCGGCAAAAGACAGCTATGACCAACTGGAGGAGTTGGAATTGAAGAAGGAGAAGGCTAAACTGCGGATGGAAAGGGAGCACTCATCATCGCAAAGCTCGCATTCTTCTTTCTCAAGGTCAGTAATTTGTGAATATCTCCTTTTGACATCACATCTGATGCGTTTTGATACCAGTGAGACGGAAAGTGCACTAGCAAAGAAAGATCATCTGCTGAACAAAACTGCTATCTCCTCGCCCATTCCTCCATCCCTTCTCTTCACACTCACTCAGCATCTCCATCTCGATTTTCTCCCTGCCAACAAAAGTCCATGGGATACACAACGGACAATCTAATGGGAATATCTGTATATTTTTTCTACTTTGTTTTGGCAACTGCCGGGGCTTTACACTGACGGCATCGCTACGGTGTCAAGATGGTAACTTTGTTTTGAATTCCAACATGTTTCATAGAATTCTCTGTATTAAAGTGTCTAACATGCGTGTGTCGACGATGTGGGCGTCTTTGTGTGCGGGGTACATCTCTAGTCCGATCTCTTCGATACTTCAAAGATGTACTCGAACGTAGCCTGGTGCATCATACCCTCGAATGTCTCAGGGAGTTCATCGTAAATATGACCTGCCGTCTCCCTCAGCAGGAACAGGATGCAGTACTGATAACTCCACCTGGTATTCCCCGCATGCGGGCGAAGGGAGGGACTACAGTATCGGGAGGGATCACAGTCCCGTCGTCGATTTTGCAGCAGTCGCTAAGGATCGCTCTCTTTCCCTAACACCAACCATCAGTATCCGCTTCTTGACTGAACGAACCTTACAATGATGCAGTTAGCACCGATGTCAACACAGGAACCAACCTTCAAGGCCTCCACGACGCTACCTCGCCCGATGCTAGTGTTGTTTCCTATCGTCATCGGGAAGAAGCTCGAGCCTCTTGCATTCCATATCAGCCAAGGCCCAGCCATGAGCAGGACATGTCCTTACGATTTCGATTTCTTGAAGGACGGTCGGAGGACAGCATGTGGCTTGATGACGCAGTGACGGCCGATCTTGATCTTCGCCATGTCTCCCCTCAGGATAGTGTCCGATTCTATTACAGTCTGAAAGAGAAATATCACCTATTGCTCGTTGAGCGCACAGCACAACCTTTGCTCCTAGACTGATGTTGTGAGCTCCATACAAAAATGCTCCAACGCTGAACTTTGTCCCTTGGGATCCTTGTAAGTACTCGGAATCCTTTTCTCCTTGCATCGTTGGCTGTTTTCAGGTTCTGCTTATCTATGGTATATGGGCCATCCTCTTGTTCACTAGTCACAAACGTCAGAAACAATCAATACCAAGTGCTCAAACTAGCACAACCCCCATCTTCTCCTCCCACATCCCTGGCGCAACAGCTCCTTCCTACTTCGCTGCTAGTCTCTACGTGCACCCTGCCATTCCTTGACTACGATGAGGCGGGCCCGACACGGGATCCTGATCATCGGACCGTAGCTGAGCGGCGCGGCCCGCGGCCGGCCGGGCGGCCGGGTAGTAGCCTACTAGGCCCTCAGCTAGTACGCCGGGCCGGTCACCGGGTTTGATCAGGCTCCCGGAGTGACGGTCACGGTCCCGGAGACGGTCACAGGCTGGGCATCGGCGGACGGACTCCGGGCCGAGTCACGCTGAGTCGCCGCGGGGTCGCCGCACTGGCGCGCCCCGGCCGCGGGGCCCGGCCTGGCTGCCGGCGGCGGTGAACGGTAATAAGTAATAAACCGTTGGCCGCTTTCAATCAAGTTTGCCCCCCGGCCGGCCGCGGGGCCCCGGAGAGTCTCGGAGACGGACTCTGGCACGCCGTCCGAACACTGGGCTTCCAAAACTTAGCCCGCCGCCGGGCTCACGACCGTCGGACTCAGTAGCCGCTGGCCGCGGCCTTCCGACGTTCAAGCCAAGTTGCCAACTTCCGAAGTTTAGCAGTGCCAGTTGTGGCATAAGTCACAGTGATGGCCCGGCTGACTCAGCGTGAGTCGCTCGCCGCGGTGGCGGAGGAGGTGACCCACGTGAAATCACGGTTGAATCCGGTGGCAGTCCGATTCTGGGAAGCAAGTTCACACTCGGACGGGAGTAGTCCAGTCCGGAGCTCAGCGTCTCAGCCGCGAGCCGCTCAAGTGGAATACAAGTTCATATCCATGGCATCATCTGGTGACGCAACTGCAGTTTGACAATCGTGAACGGTCGGGTGTATGAACAACCGTGATCATCCGATGATCTAGCCTTGAGAGTGCTTCTCTCGTTTCTCTATCGACGAATTGTGTGGATGCGCCTCAGTCGTGCTCCCGGGTTGCACCATCGTCCTCGTCGATGTGAAGGACATGGCAGGATGCACCGATGAGCGCAAAGGGCTCTCGTCACCGAGCAAGAATTCCTCTTCCTGCACGACAACACGTGACTCACATTCACCTCCTTGCAATGTCATGCCGCAGACCTTCAGCCTTCGAAGCTGTTTGTTCAGCTCAGTAGCTACACGTCGCAAGGCCTGTTTGAACGAGAGAGCTGGAGATTACAAGATTTGCTTACACAATGCAGGGAGACGGGGAGGGGAGGGGAGAAGGGCAAGTGGGGAAGGGGAGAACGAGGACAGATAGAGAGGAGGGAGGAGAACGAGGAGAGAGAGAGAACGCACGAGACAGAAGAGAGAAAGGAGGGAGGGGAGAGCAAGGAGAGGAGGAGGGAGAAGGGAGCAACTGCAGCACAGCTCACATGATCTGTATTCTTGATTCTCTTGCGCGCTTTCTTGAGGCTCCTCAGAGCCATGGAAGCTTGAGGAGAGTCAGAAACATCGCAAGCATCCACCTCACGCACCACTCTGCCGTTGCTCATTGTACGTCTTGGTCGTATTCGGCTCAGTCTCGCACCACGTGATATCCGACGGCCAGTCTCGCAACAGCTGGCGGCATTCTGTGGATATGGACAAATCTGCTGCTGCACATGGCATTTCCGGTCCATCACACGTGGATCGCATGCGCCGGTTGGTCTCCTCACCCTCCGCGCTCATCTTGGATGCCACAGCCCCGTAACATCATGGTACATCATCTTGACTTCCTCCCCACCTCCTCTCCTCTCCCTCTTACTCCTTCACTTCGCTACTTCTCTCCTCTTACTCCTCCATTTCGCCGCCTTTCTCTCTTCAAACCTCCCTTCCTCGTCCCACTATCTGTCTCTCTCTTCCTAGACTCCCTGTCTCCTACTCACCTTCCCCCCTCCATTTCCGAGCCCAAGTTGCCCTTCACACCTGCTCTACACCCTTCCGTCTCTTCTGTTCACAGGACTTGAAATTCTTTAAAAAACGAAAGTTTGAAAGTTTCCTCCTTGTTCAAACTTTGTTTTTTTGGACTTTCAAACTTCTAGCTATTCATGCGATGGAGGCGCTCAGGTGCGGAAGCCGAGAGAGGGAGAGGAGGAACGAGTTGGCTGCTGCAGCACGAACATCTGATGCTATTGAATGACAATGGCAGGGATGGGCAGGGAGAATGCAGATGAGGGAGAGGCGGGCAGAGGAGAATGGAGGAATGCAGGGGAGGGAGAGGAGAGCAGGGCGAGAAGAGAGCAGAGAGGAGTAGAGGAGTGGGGAATAGAGCAGAGCAGAGGAGAGAGGGGAGGGCAGAGCAGATAGACGTAGAGGGGAAAAGAGGAGGGCAGAGAAGGGAGAGGTCATAGGCAGGAGCACGAACATCATCTTCAGCAAAATCCAGCCTTATGTTGAAGTAGAAACCTCGAATAGATGATAATAAGAGTTAAGGAAGATATGAACTGTTCGAACATGGCCAGTCACGACCTTGTCCTCAGGTGCCTTCTGTATGGTAGCTGGTTGCCGCATCACCCCAAAGGAGTCCTTGACCTCGTGAGGACAAGAAGGTGTGGGCTGAGACGTGCTGACTTGCTTTTGACCCGTCATCAACTGCAGGCATGGAAACTACAGGCATAAAGGGAAAGAGGACACCGCTGAATGGACAGGCTCTTACATATTCTGCAACGGGTGGGAGTACTCAAACTCGGCGGATCCGCGATTCTTCTATCCTGTGATCCCCTTCAGGACAGCCTCTGATCTCTGTTTCCAACTCTGCCTTGCAGGTCGTGATAAGGATGAGGGAACAAGGGCTTGCCCAATGGTTTGATGACTCTTGCCGGGCTCAGAACATCAATTATGCGGTCACTCCCTAGCCTCCCTCCCGTGACTGTTTCTTCATATTCCTACCCCAATCCCATCACCCTCTTTCCTCCTGTGCTGTACTCGTCCGTCCCTTCCTCCACCACAATTACGCCTTCCCGCTCAATTTCTAATCTTCTGCTGCTATCCTGTCTATCTCAACCTTTCACTTGTGTAGGTGGAGAGTGAGGGAAGGGAGGAGGATGAGGTGAACAAACAATCTTGACAGAGCCTGATCGTAATGCTACAGATTGTGATCATCGCTCTCCTCTTCTTGTACCAAATGTGAGAGCTGTGTGTGGTCGTTGCACGAAATGATTTTTGCTTGTAGGGGATTTGAGCTTGCAGCTTTCAGCTCTATGATAGCGTGAGACACTTTTGCATGCCCTTGATGTTCATAACAGAGATTCATCAGGCTTTGGCTGCTGAGCCTTCTACCATGAAATGATGTGGTCGTCGTTCTATTTTTTCAAGATCTCTCTTTAAATCGAAGTGTGAAATAGCTTATCTTTCCCTGAGATCGAGATAACATCAAGACATGAATCTGCAATTCGGCTTTGAAGCCTCTTCGCACCGCCGTACAGTCATCAGCAATTTTAGTCCTTTCCAAGTCGCTCTCAGTTACTCTGCCCAGTCTCATGCACGTCCGATGCAGCCGGTCACTCATTCTTCTGACCAATCGCAGCTTCCAGTCTTGCAATGCTGATGGCAAACTGTCATGGAAAAGTCCCTGAAGCTGCTAAGGACCATGATTTACACGTAATGGGCCCATTTGTATTGCTGATCCGACTATTGCCCGTTGTCTGCATGTAGCAACAGACTTTTTTTGTCCATTTCTTCTTGTAGTTCAGTGTTCACATAAGTGTTTTATAAGTCAAGCAGGCTGGTTGGCTGTTTGAGAATCCGAAACTTGACGGTAACATCTTCTCTGGCGGGCCCGGCGGGGCGGACTGCGGCATCGACCATCCGATCCAATTGTTTGTGTCGCTGGGGACTCTGAGCGCTGTGATAGAACGGCGGCTGAGGGCGTAGTATGGCACTGCCGCAGGCTGCCACCGTGAGCCTGACTCAGTGATCGGACTCCGGCGTTCAAGTTCGTGGCGGGCGGCCCGGCCGGGCGCGGGGGCCGGGGCCCTGGGCCCAGGAGTACTACCGTAGTACGGCGGGGCCGCTACGGTACGGTGCCATGATCCCGGGCCGGGCCGGGCTGAGATCAGTGACGAGTCACTGGGCAGCAGGATCTAGCAAGTAGTGCTTAAGTTACTAGAGGACTTTACTAGGGCCCATGATTGTGTGACGGCGGAACGACTCTCATGCCAAAGACTTGTAAAAGGGGGCGATGCCATGAAAACAATATAGATTTAAGTATTACTCATCTTTCGGATTGGTACAATTATTCCTTTTATTTAATTATAATTTATTCTAAATGTTTTATAAAAAAGATGATGATTTTAAAAATGATCAAACGTATCCATGTGACCCACCCCATCCATCCCCTGAAGGTCTTCCTGAACCCCTTTTTATACCCATATTCTACTATGAAGTACCCGGTACTTTACATCACTACCCACTCAGATGAAATTACTCCCACTTTTATTTTTTCGTTCCTCGTCAGGGTAGCAAGAATAACCCCCTACCCTACCCCCCTTCTCCCCTCTTCAATCATCCAATCCTCTTCTGGGTAACTACCCGGTACATTCCACTACCCCTACCCTGCTCCGGCAAAGGTATAGCCTGCCTTGTCCCCTGCACCATCTTCCCGTGGCCGCCCATGCCGTATACGCGATGGCTGCTGCCGCTGATAGTGGCAGGAGCTGGCGCCTTTAACCTCTCGCCAGCTCCACTTGGAGGAGTAGCACGGAAGAGCCCCGTCTCGCCCGCCTCCTCTTTCATCACTCCGCCTCCCCTTGCTGCCCGCAGCTCTCGCAGGGCGGCACGCATGGGGCAAGGGAGGACTGGCAACGACTTCCTGGCAACGACGATGAGCTCAGGTAAGGAGCCACCTCTTCACTTAGTTCACATCCATGCCTTAGAGGGCATTCCTGCCCTAGCTTCCTTGTCCCAGCAGCTAGCCTCTCGTTGTTCCTTCACCTCGCTCTGAGACTGTCGTGACTTGTTGTGTAGCTGTTACGCCGGAGAATCCTCTGAAAGTTGTCATTGCGGGCGGTGGGGTTGGGGGACTTTTCCTCGCAAAAGCACTTCAGAAGAAGGGATGCAAGGTTCTGATCCTCGAGAAGACTGGGAAGTTTGCCAGATTCGGAGGCCCGATCCAGCTTGCTAGTAACGCTCTTGCCACCATCAAGGGCATCGACGAGACGCTGTTTACTGAAGTGATGGAGAAGTTCACCTTTACGGGGACGCGGACTAACGGGATCAAGGACGGAATCAGGACGCAGTGGTACACCAAGTTCGATGCGATCACCAAGATGGCCGAGTACTTCAATCTGCCTTACACCGGCGTTGTAGACCGCCCGGATCTGCAAGAGATTCTGTTGAAGTCGGTTGGAGAAGATGAGACGGTCAGGAGGAGCTCTCCCGTGTCGCGCTTCGAGCAGCTCGGGGACGGCAAGGGCGTGAAGGTCTACCTGGAGGACGGGACGTGCGAAGAGGCCGATGTGCTAGTGGGGGCAGACGGTATCTGGTCCACCATCAGGGCCCAGCTCTGGAACCAGGACGCCAAGGGCCCCAAGTCAGGGACGACGTACTCGGGGTATACCTGCTTTGCTGGAGACACCATCCAGCGACCGGACTACTACTTCGACGTCGGGTACCAGGTGTACATCGGGCCAGGGAAGTATTTTGTCACCTCAGATGTCGGGAGGGGGAGGACGCAGTGGTACGCTTTCCTCGCCCTGCCCGAAGGGACCAAGAGCCGAGCCTCGAACCTCGAGTACTTGCAGGAGCTGTTCTCCAAGGGGAAGGAGGGAAGGTGGTCGGAGGAGGTCTTCAAGGTGCTGGACGCGACTCCTGAGGAGAACATCGAGCAGAGGGATCTCTTCGACAGGCCCCCGAGCGTCACCAAGAGCTGGTCAAAAGGACACGTCACCATGATCGGAGACGCCGTTCATCCCATGATGCCCAACCTGGGGCAGGGAGGCTGCCAGGCGATCGAGGACGCGTACGTGCTGAGCGAGATCCTCGGGACTGTGGAGAAGAGGGAGGACATCCCCGGAGCTCTGCGTTCCTTCTACTTCAAGCGCCTGCCTCGCACCTCTGTCATCCAAGGCCTTTCCAGGATCGCTTCCGACCTTATCGTCTCCGCCTTCGACACTCCTTTCCAGGTGGGCCTCCTGCAAGTCTTCAACCCCCTGCTCTCGTCTCCCTACTTCACTTGCCCTCTCTCTCTTCCTTCTTCTACCCTTCTCTCATCCTCTTCCCTTCCCTTCGATCTCCTTCCCTTTCCATTATCTCCTTTCCTGACCGCTCACTGACGAAGCGATGGTGCTTGGCTCGTCTACTCGACGAACCCTATCAGCCGGCGTGGGTTGACAACCGGTACGGCCCGCTCGGTGGTCCACTGGGCATCAACAACATCTTCACGAGGATCTTTCAGCCGTTCATGGGCCTCATCTTCTATGCTCAGTTCGGCTACGTCTACACTTTTCACCCCAAGAAGTGCACTGACGAGGAGATCAAGAACCTTGTTGACACGGTCCTGATGCTTCTCTACTCCTCTTCACTCACCTCCTCCTGTTCTGCTCCAATCCCGCTCTCCGACTTTTTCTCCTGCATCTCCTCGCCGTGCTCTGCTCTGTTCTGACTGTTGCGCAGGTCATGGCCCGTCACAAGAAGGAGGCCGAGGCGACGTGGAAGCGGGTGGGAGGTTGGAGAGAGCGAAGGGCTCGTTGTGACGGTCTGGCAGGTCGGAATGATGTCGCAGGCAGAGATCGATGCTATGGAGGGGAGGGAAGGAGCTGGTCTTGGTTTCAGGTGAAGCTGCTGGGACGATAGATGTACAACTAGGTTTTCAATACACATAAGATGAGGAGGGAAGAGCTTGTAGCGGAGACCCCGGGGGTTAGCAGGGCAGGGGACGTTCAGATCTCCTCTACTACCATGGAGCTTTTCCTTGGCAACGCCCTTCCTGCTAGTATTTTCCTTGTCTTCTCCAGGGAATCTGCACGAACTCAGTTGACCAGGAGGAGGTGTTGGAAGAGCAAGAAAGGGTGCAAGAGAAAGAAGAGGACGAGGAAGGTGAGAAGGAGTAGGCAGTGGAGCAGCAGCAGCAGCAGCAGCAGCAGCAGCAGCAGCATGATATCCCCCTCACCCCGCAGTGTCATGTCCTTGTTCAACGTCCACTCCTCTTCGTTCCATCTTGCCGTGAGCCCGCGGTGGACAGCAGAGACAGCCCCCTTTGTCCTCCTTCTCACTAGCTCCTTCTGGACTGCCAGCAGGTCTCAGGGGGGAGAGGGAGGAGCAAATCTCACCCTCTGGTGAGAGGACGCTCTCGATCAGAGGAACTCCAGACTGCAAGTGAACTCAGCTCGCGTACCGACAACCCCTCTGTCCTCTTCCTCCTCCTCTTCTCCTCCTCCCCTCCTCATTCTCCGTTCCTTCTTCCCCCTCTTCTCCTCTCTGTCCTTCCTCCTCATTCCCCTCTCCTTCTCTTCAATCCCCATCCCTACCCCTCTTCGCTCCCACCCTGCCCTACTCCCCACCCTCCTCTACTCTCATCCCCATGGTTCTCTCGTCAGCCTCCCTCTTCTTCCTGCATTTGTTTCCTCTCCTCTCCTTGAACTCTACTCTCTCAAACCTTCTGGGCTGTCAGGTAGAGATTCAGTTCCACAAGGAATCGTTTCTTGTGCTTGACAGGAATGTTGTTGGGAATAGTGTCCTCCTCCTCCTCCTCGTGATCTCCTTCTCCATCTTTCGCCTTCCGCTCGGCCATCTGCTCAAACGACGGATGAGGAGCATCAGGTTGAAAGCAGAGGCGAGCTTAGACCTCCAAGAGCTCATCCTCCATCTCCTCCTCCTCCTCCTCCCCGCTCTTCTCTGCTCATCACGTCAGACTCGGAGCCCCAGGTACCTCCGACTGCTCACCTTTCATGAACTGAGCGTACGCCTCTGAGAACTCCGTCCCGATGACCTGACGGCACGTGACCAGGAGCCAGGAGTCACGTGGGACGCTACCGTCGTTGGCATGGCCAGAACGACAACGCCCAGGATGGCGGCGACTCCTCCTATCAAGTAGCCCAGCGGAGTTTCAGGGGTCTGCTAGCAGTGAGCTTTGCTGGGACATCAAGTTCCACTCACAATGTCTCCATCTGTGCTCGTCCACGTCGCAAACATACCGAACTCGTCAGCCGACAACAGGAGATAGTGGAAGGAGGGACTGAGGTAGGCGAGGAGGGGGGGAAAGGACGGGGGGAGAGGAGGGGGGAGAGAAGAGTGAGGAGTAGGAAGAATGGGAGGGAGGAGGGAGGGAGGGAGGGATATGGGAGAAAGGCAAGTGCCAGAGTTGCAACTCACATCCGATGGTTGTCATAGTCACCTGTACGCACAGGCATCATCGAGTTGCTTCCTCTACAAGTTTCACTCACCATCGACCACCACAAGGCGTTGGGGATCGAGTTGAACTGAGAGACGTTAGGCGGACTGGCTGATGACTTCCTGCACGAACCTGCGACCTCGTGCCGTCTCTCTTGATGCACAGGTTGCCGACGTCTGTACAGACTCCATCCGGCAGGCAGGCGGATGGGTCGGGGAAGCTAGAACGAGGAGGAAGGAAAGAAGTTCATGGGAGGAGGATGGAAAAGGGACAGGAGGGAAGTTGAGAAGGATGGGAGAGAGAAAGGGGGAAGGGAGAGGAGCGCAGGAGGGAGGAGGGAAACAGAGTGAGAGAGGTAAGGCATGAGATGAGGAATCACCTTGCGTTGGGAGCGAAGGATCGGTTGTCCGTTGCTGCGGACCTGTTGCTGTAGCCGATGATGTGGACCGACGCAGATGTCAGCCACCCGACGGAGCCGTCGGCGAATGTGACGGCAGTGCAGTTGTTGTACGAATTTGACCCTCCTGACTGCAGTGACGTGTCAGCCAAGGCTGGACGAGAGGGCTCTGTCGGGGTACTCACGCATTTGTACTCGATCAGGCAGATCTCGCCGTTCTCCACGGAGAAGATGAGACTCGCAGTCACGATCTGAATGAGGAAGATGACGAAGGAGATCGAGACTAGAAACCTCCAGCTCCTTCTGAACGTCCTCATGATCACTGCCAGCCCCTTCTGGTGCTTTCCCAGCTTGAGGAGCCGGAAGATTCGAGCAACTCGAACCACTCGGATGATGGCCAGACCTTTCCCACCTGAAGTGGCCGCTGCAAGCTCGATGTAGAAGGGAGCGATAGCAAGGAAATCAATGACATTCATGGGCACCATGGCAAACCTGAGCCTCGACCGCAAGTACTGAGACAAGCTCTCGTTCATGAAGCAGGAGTGTGGTGTAGGATGCAACAGAAGTCGAGCCCCATAGTCGAGAGTGAAGACGCTGATGCAGAACTCTTCGATCGAGGAGAACACGTGCGCTGAGTATGTGAAGCCGGGGGTTCCTGTCAAGCAGGCTTGAGGAGCAGGATGAGTGTGAGAGAGTATGGTACCTGGCTCTGCTTCTGTGTAGAAGTTGGGTAGGGTAGAGACACAAAAGCTGACCGTCGACAGCAAGATCACAAAGGTTGCAAGAGTTGACCAGAGTCTCGCAATCAAGCTGGAGCCTGGGTTTTCAAACACTTGCCAGACAAGTAGTCTGTACTTGCGAAAGTATGAGACATGAGAGCTTCGGATGTTGAAGCATATCTGCTTGAAGGTTGCGTAGTCTGTCTTGTCGTCTTGTACGTAGTTCTCGATCACAATGTGATAATGGAACTGATCGAACACTTCATGGATGGCGCTGATCAACTCCTGCTTGTCAAGGAGACGGTCTCTGCGCACATCATGCTTGATGAAGATGGACGACAGATATTCTTCGCTGGAGCAGTCAAACTTCATTCTTGCTGCTGATGTCCAGCACAAACTGCCCCGAGGTCCCCTCCTCTTCCTTCCCCCCCCCCTTCCCTCCCTCCTCCTTGTGCCCTTTGCGTGCCCTCTCCTCTCCTCCCACTTCTTCCCCTCTCCCTTGTTCGCTTCCTGTCCCGGCGCAGCTCCGCTTCACTTCACCTCCCCCTTTTCTCCCCTCCCCTGCATTGTGTGGGGGCTGGTGATGAAAATAAAAAAACGTCAAGTCCAACGGCCATCAGCAAGGAATGCACCAGGCGCGATGAAGGAAGGACTGCTACACGCGCTTGTCAAGGAGGACGAGGACTTGGAGGCGAAGGAGCTCAAGAGGGTCCTCGTCATCGAGACGGCCGAGATCGCTTCCAGGTGATAGTTCCCCGTCTGACACCTGAGGGCTATCAACTGAATCCTTGACTCCGACTCTTTATGCGCACTAGGTTATGGGCGAGCATGGAGAAGGATGCGGAGGGAGTCCTCAGCCAGACTTCGATGCGTCTGGTCCTGGGGAAGAACTCCGGCCTTGCTGGGATAGCAGGCCTTCAAGATTCTTTGGCAGACTGGAACGAAGAAACTCCGATCACCTTTGAGATCCTCACGTCTCAGTACAAGAAGGTCCTCTGCAACACAGAGGATGTGATAGGTTGGGTTCCTCTGCACTGGGCAGCGTCCAAAGGAAGGGTAGCAGCGATCAAGGTGCTGCTCGAGCACGGTACGGGCGACCTTCATCTACCGCGCTTCTAAGCTGCCCATTTCCAGGAGGAGACGCCAACCACAAGACCTCGGATGGTGTGACCGCAGCCCACGAGGCGGCAAGGACAGGTCTCGATGTGCCTCTGGTCTACGTGAGGTGTTGTCCTGGTTGTGATGGTGGCGGGCAGGCCGAGTCGACTGCCTTGAGATGCTGCATGAGTTCGGAGCGAACCTCGACATTGAGTCGGACAACGGCAATCGACCCTCCCACTACGCTGCCAAGTACGGGCACGAGGCGGTCCTGCGCTTCCTCTACAAGAAAGTCGACTTCCATGTGAGGAGCGGGGCGGGAAGCTGCCTTGACCTGAGAGATTGTTAGGCTCCGAACAACATGGGATGGACGCCCTATCATTTCGCAGCCAGACACGGGAAAGCTGCTATAATCCGCCTTCTTGACATTTTAGTTCGTGTTTCTAGTCGTGACTTGACGGCCTTGAGATTCTGATCAGGATGGGTTCACTACTGCGCCAGACAAGTTGGGCAAGACAGCGATGGACCTCGCCGTGGCCAACCACCACCAGGTCGGTTGTGTTCCTCTTTCAGCATACCTCTCACTACTGCGATAGGAAGTGGTGGATGCTCTTTCAGAGAAGAAACCTGAAGAAAATGAGGAGCAAGACTGAGGGCTCTTGCCTTCGCGACATGAGAAGGTTTGGCATTCATTCACTCGATTCTGTTCGCAAGCTCACAAGCTTGTCAGGGTTCGACGTATCCAGACTTTTTCACGTCTACCAATCCGATGCAAGAGGAGGAATCGTGCCTGCAGACCAGCACTTTCAGAACTCTGTCTTGCTCCCCTCGACTCACTTGTCGCCTGCCCCTCTGCTGGTGCGCAAGTGTTTGAAACTTGCAATCACTGAATGATCAGAGAGCCTGGCTTTCCTTTCTGTCGAGGAAGTTTTCCGTTAACCGATGGCAGTGAAACGACTATCTCACTTACTTTGGTTCTCTTCGTTGGCCAGCGGCAGGTCAAGAGCTGCTTTCCACGTGTTGTCCAGAACAGCACCCTGTCTGTCTGCCTCCTCCATCTTGTCGAGGAGGACGAGGGTCGACCTCCGCTGGGTCTCGCCGCTGTCAGCTGCTCTCATGCGCCGTTCGGGCAAGTTGTACTGCAGCTTCATGAAGTAGAGATCGCTCCTTTTGAGCCCGAGGTCAGTCGTCAGGAGGTAGTTCACCACATCCGCATGGTTTCGGTCTGCGGCGCATCTGATCGCCCTCTTGCCATCGATGGTCTTTGCGTTCAAGGGAGATCCGCTCGCCACCAGCAGCCTCACCATCTTCAAGTTTCCATTCCATGCGGCGAAGTGAAGGGCCGTCCTCCCGTACTGTCATGCGGAAGTTACAACCAGATCACAAGAATCAAGGTCATCAGAAGAGGAAACACCGCAAGAACATGTAGCACGATAGTGACAGAGGCTTACCCCATCGCACACAGACAAATCTGCATTCTCATGCAGCAAGTACGTCACGTGAGCCAGGTCGTCAGTTCTGGCCGCTTGCAGGATACCACCTTCCGTACACTGCTGTTCCATAACGTGACCTGATCGTTTTCTTGAGCGGATCCATCGCCATTCAGGTCTTTCTTCAGCCCACGCACTCTGCGGAGCATCCGGATTGACTCTTGCGAGGTTGAATGCAACTGTAGGATTCTTCAGGTTAGATAGTGGATCCATCTGCACCAAACTCTACCATGTCTGCAATCTTGGCATGATCGCGCATCGCAACCTACATCATCCGCACCGCACAATGAGTAGCAGAGTCCAGGACTTTCATCAGCCCGCTCCTTCAGAATAGGTAAGACTTCTCGAAGACAGCACGGCACTGGTTCGCGCCATCACAGCAAGCCATACATGGCGATATTCCATACAGCTCTCTTGTATTCCCATTCGGCCAGTGAGCCTCTGTTGTTAGCATCAGGAGTGTACGAAGAACAGCACGACATCATCAGGGCAACCAGCCATCACCTGTTTGCTCGCCACTGATCGCCTGCTCCTTCCTGCCTTTGACCACTCCATTTTTGTACACGCCAAGTCCTCCGCTAGTTGAGTAAAACTTGGGGGCGGGGGGTGGGCGGGCCCTATCGGATGATCGGATCGGACGCCGTCGGAGTCGGGCCACGCCGCGCCGGGTTTGAGGCTAGATGATACTACTCAGTGACAGCTGAGCAAACCCGGAAGTATGACTGCGGTCCCGGACACTGTTCTTTTGTTGGTAGTAAATTTCCACGCTTGTTACTACGGTTCCGGCTGAGCGTTTTCGAACTAATATTTCGGGGTGGATTCGAAATTTTCAAGTTCTCCAAGCGCACATTGCCAAATCACCAACAGGCATGAACTTAAGCACAATTAACCCCAAAGGCCCCGTGCCACGTGCTGCGTCTAGACAAGTCGACGAGTCATCAACTGCCGCAGGCCTAGTTATAAACGGCGTCCACAAAGATACCGTCAGGCAACCTCTTGCTGCAGTGCCGGTACCGTAGTACAGCCGGTGGGTTGCACTTGTCTCAGTAGTACCGTAGAATCGGGCAGGGCAGGGGGGTGAGGGTAGTAGGGGCTACAGTCAAAATGAGATTCCTTTATGCCGACTTCCCACCCCACCCCCATCAGATACTTGTAAGATTTGCTGCCACCCCGGAAACTTCCTCATTATTCTAGTCGATGCACCCCGTACTCGCACTACCCTGTTACTCACCGGGCTACGGTAGTACCTTAAATCCGGCAACGGGAGATCCCTTTAAATGTACGATCATCACTTAAGAGTCACGGTACCTCGAGGTTGTACAAGTACGAAATCACATAGTTTCGAACCCTCAGGGGTTCAACTTGATGCGAAATGTATCATTTTCGAAGACGCTGGGTTTCAAGCTCAGGGGACATTGTAAAACGACTGGCGACCGCATAACGAAAGGAAGATTTTTGGGTTGAGATCTCCTGAGAGAACGACGGGAAGGGAAAGGAACAGGACCAGAGCGGAGAACACAATCGAAGAGCAGAAGAAGTCCTGTCAAGTTTTCCTCCACCATCGTTCGCAAACATCTTTCTTCACAGAATGGTTGAAACAAGGCACAAGGAGAAATCTCCTCCCGAAGCGATCAAGAAAGAGTGCGAGCTCCAGTCTCCCCTCAACAGGCTGAAGAATGTTCGTGAAAATGTTGCTGATTCATCCCGCTGCCGTCTGACATCTTGAGCAGGACAGCGCCGTTCGTTTCTCAATGCCCTACAACGAAGCTCTTCAACCAAGTTTCGAAGCACGGGTCATCACAGAAGCTAGCCACCCCTTCAGGATAGTCCACGTCAACCCATCCTGGATGTCACTGTGCGGATTCACCGAGGAGGAGGCGGTCGGAAAGACTCTCTCCATTATTCAGGGGCCTGCGACGGACTTCGATGCCATTCAGGAGCTGGAGAAAAACGTCAATAGCTGCCGGTATGCGGCAACGATCCTGCTCAACTACAAGAAAGGAGGAGAGCCCTTCGTAAACTTCCTGCAAGTGAGCTTCTCCTCCATTTCCTCTACCACATCACCACCTCCTCAACCACTACCACCACCACCACCTAAACCCCTGCCCTCTTACACACTGACGTTCTGCTTTGCAGACGATCCCACTGGTCAACGAGGACGGGGCTATCACGCACTTCCTGGGGATCTTAGAGGATCTGAGGCTGATCGACTTGAAGAAAGGCAGCAGGAGCCTTGCAGGGAAGCGAGCAAGACAAGAAAACATGTCCATGAGCATTGAGCGACTCGTCATCTCCGATGTATGCACGAGCATTTACTGTGAGAACCTGCCCTCACATGTCATGCAGGAACGGTCCCATAGGAAGCAGGAGGAGGAGGAGGAGGAGGAGGAGGAGGAGGAGGAGGAGAAGCGATTCCAGAGGAGACGGTTCTCCGACAGTTCCCTCATGAATGCGAGTGAGAGAGAATCTCTCGAGGGAAAGATGGCGGCCGATGACAGTGAGACCCAAGACTCTTTCGACTCCTTCGACTTGGACGAGAAGCCGGAGGGCACAGACTTCTGCTGGCTCAGCATGATCTAGCAGCATGATCTTGCATTCCTCGTCCTCCTTCTTCCATGTAAATGAACGCACACCAACACCAACACCATTGTTCTTGTACTCGATTTCACTTCTGCGCTACCATTGCACTCTCATCGCATTGAGCTGGGAGTGTCGGGCCTGCTCGACATGGGGGTCGACGTGCGAGAATCTCCTTTCCTGTAGTGAATTTCCGCTGGATCAAACCCTCCGTCTCCTGTCATATCATCCCCATCAATTCCTCACCATCCCCCGGAAGACTCCTCCCCCTCCCTCCTTCTTCTCCTCGCCCTCCTTCCCATCACTCGCCCTCCTCGCTCCCCTCCTCGCTCTCCTCCTCGCTCTCCTCCTCGTTCTCCTCCTCGCTTGCAGTTTGCTCGTTCCATTTCTCTCTTTGCTCACACAAATCTCTCCTCTCACCTGGAATCCCCCGCCCGTAGACCGCCCACTCAGGCGTCTTGGTCATGTAGTCCTACCGAATGATGTAAGACAGGAGGATTGAAACATTGAGAAGAAGAGGAGGAAGAATAGAGGCAGGCAGGCAAGAACGAAGCAAGGAAGCTGTGTGCCGTGGACAAGGAGGAGAAGGAAGAGAAGGAGGATGAGGGGCAAGAGGAGGAGAACGAGAAGTACCAAGGAGGTGAATGGCTGGCCACTACGAACCAACTCAAAAAACTTGGGATAGTCAATCCATGTGTACCAATCTGAACCCCTGCAGACGATTTTCAGCAAGCAGCACCCCTTGCAACATTCGTGTTCTTATGATCGCTTCAACTCAGTGTGCGTATCGACCCTCCATGACAATCTCCTTCTCATTCCTTGCCTCACCTCTTGAACTTCTTGTTTGCCAACAGGATGGCGCAGGAGTGAGCATGCTCAGAAGCAATCTCTACAGCATCAAGAGTGAGGCCCGTCAAATCTCTTCCCTCCCTTCCTCACCATATTCGTCGTCGACCATCTTACAAATTTGCGAAGCAAAACTTACGACTTCAGCATGCCAAGGTACGTTGCTCATGCCAAGCTAAGCAAAACTGTCACAGAGGACTAGCAGGGCGGATAACAGAAGACGTAGGAGCAGGAGGAAGGAGGCAGGAGGCAGGCAAACATCAGACCTGGGGCTTCTTGCCTCCAGTGAAGGTTACACCCTTGATCTCAACAAAGTCTAGCGCAAGTCTCAGAGACGACACAAGGAGAAGCTGAGAACAGCAACCTGGCCTCCCCCTACGGATCAAGTTGGCGTATCCCTCAACCTGCCTCGCTCTGTGACATGCGCAAACTTGACAGGTCTCAATCACCTCCGACATGTTGAACGACTTCACGAGCGTCAGTCGGAAGACTGTGCGCTGGCCCTTCCGGTCGAGGATGTCAATGCACCTGATGGAACCCTTTAGCAGCTTCAAGGAAGAGGAGGAGACCAGAAGAGGGGCGGGAGAGGAGAGGGGAAGAGGAGGAGAGAAGGAAGGGGAGGAGAGTTTGATGAAACGATCCAGGTGGACGTTGGAGAGCAAGAGAGAGAGAAGGAGAAAGCCTCACTCTAGGAATCTCTCCCAGAAGTCGCTGAAGAGAGGGCGATCGACGGCTTTCAGCTCCTCGGCATTGGAGGCGTCGATAGAGACGTAGAGCTGAGTGCAGGGAACAAGGTTTTCCATCTGGGAAGGAAACTGAGCGTTGGAGACGAGGAACGTGCTGATGCTCTGCTCGTGGAGAAGGTTGATGAACCTGAAGACATTCAGATCAGCTCAACAGACCGGAATGAGCAGGAGGAGCGGGGGGAAGAGCGGCAGGCCGGAGCGGAGGAAAGCACGAAGGATTGAGGTCTCGGGAGCAGAGGAGGAGTCAAGAGATGGGACGGAAGAAAGAGGACACTGTCACACTTGTTGATATGTGGGTAGATGATCGGCTCCCCGACGAGAGATAGAGCGCAATGCCTGCAAGACTGGGGTCAGGAGGTGATGGGGAGAGAAAAGGAAAAGACCTGACTGTGTCCGCCTCCTCCAACCTCTCGGGAATGACGCCCGGCAGTCCTCGCATCTCCTTGATCATGGCCCTGTGCTTCGACACGAACCCGTCGACGAGGAACTGCTAAGCCGTCATGGCAGTCGCAACACAGCAGAAGAGACCTGAGGGTCGTCCGTCTCCCACCTCCAGCTCGTCCCCACGGGATTCTTGTGGTGCCGCCAGCAGAACACGCACTTGTTGGCGCACGCCAAGGAAGGTGTCGCCTCCATGCACTGGTAGCTGGCGATCCCGTAGAAAGTGTGCTTGTAACACCCTCCTCTTCCTCGCAGCATCGACTTGGTCCACCTGCACAGCTTGACCCCGCTGTGGCTGCCTACGAGCTTGTAGCCTTGCTTCGTCAAGCTCGCCTCTAGCGACGGGTTCAGCATTTTCTTCGGCTTCCCGCGGAGCGTCACCACCCCCTCCTTCTCCTCCTTCCCTCTCGACGCAATCTTCCCCAGGTCCTCCAGGTCCTCCAGGTCGGCCTTCGAGCCGCACGTCCCTCCCTCCTCACCCTGCAGCATGTCGTCGAGGTCGTCTTCCTCCTGCGCACTCGATGTCGACTCCTCGTCGCTGTCCTCCTGGATGAACTGAACGGAATTCCCCATGAGCCTTGCTCCCTGGGACACCCACAGCGAGTCCTTCCACGACCCGAAGATGGAGGGCGAGTAGTCGTCCTCCTCCCCTCGAGCACATACCCTCTTGCCCCCCAGCGCCACAAGACGATCGTCCAAGTCCCGCGCGGCCTTGCAGAAGTTGGCGGCGTACTCACTGTTTCCAAGTCCGAAGACTGTGAACTTGACGTTGTTGAAGTCTAGCTCGAGCTTGCAGCTGTCCTGCTGCAGCCAAGAGAAGAAGCTGCTGCAGGAGGGTGGGGGGGTGCCGTCGGTCCAGGTTGACGTGATGAACACAAACACGGGGGAGCTGTCGAGGGCATGCCGAGCTTTCTCTAAGAAGTCTGGGGAAGCAAGGCTGATGATGCCTACCTTGAACCCCTTCTCGCTCGCGTCCTCGTACAGGTCCTTGGCAAAGTTCTCTGCATTCCCTGTCTGAGAGCCATAGCAGATAATCATCGTCCCTTCCGCAGATCGTTCGTTCCCGTGCTTGCTCTTCTCCTCCTGCGCATTCTTTTTTGGCACTCTTTGCGGCAGGAGGCCGGCTTTCTTCATCCTGATGTACTCCTTCTTGGGTAGCCCGAGATTGCGGCTACGAGCTGCGTTCTCCCCACTGCTCTGCTCCTGGCACGCGCACGCATGGCTCTCCTCACCATTGCTGCTTTGACAGCATCCTCTCTCTTCCACACGTTCCGGTGCTTGACCTCTGTCCTCCTTGGGCTCAACCTCCTGCTGCTTCTCCTCTTCGCCCAGGAACGGCGCCATTGCCTCGGGGGTGAGCATGTCGCCGATCGCATTTAGAACGTCCTCCCTCGACGAGGAGTCTGCCTGCTTGAGAGAGCGTTCCTGCGCTGCCTTCTCCTCCTCCTCTCTCCTCCTCCTCCTCCTCTCCATCATCAGAACCATGGCTGCTGCCCCAGTGGCTAGGAGTAGGAGCTTCACTTGACTCTGCATGGCGGTGAGGTGGGAGAACGAGACTGCAAGAGGTAAGTCAGAAAGTAACTATTACCCCTCAAATGGAAGTATAAAGTACCGGTATTGAATACACACATGGAACTATTGAAAGCAAGATGTATTTCCCCTAAATGTACTTTGTAAATTTGAAATTTATCAATTAAATATTTATCTAGTTTGCTTTTTCCATGGTTCGATTTCGGGCGCAAAGAATCGTTCTGCCGGTATGAGGGGCACGTGCTAAAACTCAATTACCTCCCCGATGTTTTGAAATACCCCTTGACGACCACCCATTCTGAGAACTACCCCACCCATCTGTTGTTAAATTTCTCTCAGATCACCCTCTAAATACCTCTAAATACTACCGGTGATCACAGTTCTTTGTTCACATACCTACCCACCTTTGGCTGTACCCCACCCAGCCGAAATAGAGTAGAGCCTCCCCGATTGACAACGGACAATGAAAGAGAGGGTAGGAAGGGCATGGCTGAAAGGGATGGTGATGGAAACAAGAGCAGAGATGTCAAGGAGAGCAGAAATATGAGAGAGAAAGGTGAAGAGAAGTGACCGGTAAGGTGGGAGTTGATTGAGACACAGTGAAACAAGTACGAATAGTTACAGAGGATTGTTGTTTCAGTCAACAAGCGGGTTCAAGGATGATTGAGAGGAGCAAGCAAGATATTGACAGTGGCTAGTAGAATGAGAGAGGAAGGAGAGTGGGTATGACTAGGTGATTGAGAATAAGATGTTTCCAAAGAATCGAGGGAAAGAATGTTTTACTGAAGGTGAATATACCTGTGATTAGAACCCACTGAGAGAATGGTGTAGAAAGATGCTGCTCATTTCTTCTGTTCGCTTTACCCATTCGATGGCCCACTGAGTCCATATTTTTGAACTTGCAGCGTCGAGCTGAATGTGTACCATCTTGGCGGCATAGTCAGAGGGATGGACCCGTACAGCTCTCGAGGCTCGACACCTCAGAAGATTCTTCTCGACGCTCTGACCATGTGCTTAACTTCTCCTTCCTCTTCCTCTCCCTGTTCCTCCTCCATCCTCTACCTTGTCCCCATTTCTCGTCTCCTCCTGACCCTCTGTACCTCTTCCATATAGCTCACAGATCTCTCACGCTCAGGTCTGGCCTGGCGACATTTTCTCCTTCAGCCAATGCATGGATGATTCCTGCACAGAAATTCGATGTGAGAGTACACCCGTCTTTCTCCTCCTCCGCCACCCGCTCGCCCTCCTCCTTCCTCCCCCAGATTCTCCTCCTCCCTCACCGTCCTCGCCTGAGGTGTGCGAGCAGCCGCTGGCAGCGCAGCGTCCTCCGGTGGACCCGCAAGTGCCGCCCATGCCTTCAGCGAGTCGTCGACTCTTCTACAACAGACAGGGAGAAGGGTGAGTGTGAGATGTAAGAGGAGAGAGGAGAAATGACTCGTGATGATTTCTAGAAGACTTCAAGATCCGGATGACCTCATAAGCAAGATCCGAAGTGCCGTGGATGAGGTGTAGATTTGAATCTCTTCCTATTTTCCCCCTCCATCGCCATCATCTCCATCATCATCTCCATCATCATCTCCATCATCGTCCATGTTCGCATCGTAATCATCATCGTTATCCTTTTATTTCATGCTTCATTCTTGCATGTGATTGCATGTGGTTTTCTTGAGCTGACGATTTCAACAGCTACAAAGCAGTCAGCTCATGATCTTCGGTAGTTGATGAACTCCCTTTTGTTAGTTTTGATGACACATGTGAATGTAGAGGAACAGACAGCAAACTTGCAGAACAAGAAAAAAATTGCAAATTCAGGAGAGGATAGTCGCGACCAACAAGCAAGAAGTCAAAACAACTCGAGACATCAGACACACACTGTCGATGAGCTATTTGCAGACGATTTTCATCGAGATGAAATCAAGCCTGTACAGCCAAATGGTGCATCCTTTTCCCGTCGGCACGTAGAGCAGCCGGCAGACATTCGAGATCGCAACAACTTTGCTTCGTTCGCTCACCGACAAGATCTGTATCGCGAGGCTGCAAGCTCAGCATCCTCTGTACACGGAGATTCTCACATGCCCTATGACGATCGTTATCGCCAGACCTCGGTCGCTGCTTGCATGCAAGAATGTGATATGCTGCTGGTGAGTGACGCTCTAGACTTGCCCTCACTCTCTGACTTGCTCCCACCCCCCCTACTCACCTCCCTCTGTTTTGCTGTCTCAACCCTCCTCCTGCTCTCGCGCCTCCTCCTCCTCCTCCGCTCGCTCGCTCGCTCTTTCTCCCCCTCCACGCTCCCCCTCCTTTCTCCTCTTCTCCGCATTCTAACTAGGTTGTTCGTAGGAGAATCTCCGCGTTCTCAAGTACGAGAAGCTCAGGTGGAGGGAGCGGGAGGATCTCCGAGTGTCTGATGTGCGAGCAGCATCGAGAAGCTTCTGATGGATGCAGTGGGAAGAGTGCGAGCGAGTCTCCTGACGGCGGATCAAAGGTGAGGAGAGTCAGGTGGGGGCCAGGTGGGAGTGCTTTTGCGCCTCCTGTCTCCCGCTGCGGTGGATGTGTCTCCTCCTCTGGTGTCCTTGTCTTGACCTCTGCTCTCAGGAGCGTGCTCGAGCAGCAACTCCATCAGATTCCCCAGGATCGTCCAGCTGAAGTAGCGAGCGCGGCGTTGGAGTTCCTCACGAGGTGCCTGTCGCAAGAATCTATCGACAAGCATCACTACATGTGGGCAGCTCGACCCTCCTGCTCTCCTCTCGCTGACTCCTCTCCTTTCAGGTCGCAGGTCTACCAGCAGAGCAAGGTGGTGGACGAGCACGAGAGGAGGATCGAGACGCTGCAGAGCCAGCTCAACTCACTGCAGGCGCCTCCTGTGCTGGCGACTGCAAGTTGGCTGACCATGCGCGCAGGCCAAGAATTCCTCCCTCGACAAGAGGCTCCACGAGCTGACCACTCAGAACACGTCCTACCGCGTAGCTCTCCAGCTCCTGCGGTCGAGGAGGAGCTAACGATGGTGACGGGGCAGGTGGAGCAAGAAAGATTCGCGGGGGAGCGGAAGACTCTGGAGGAAGAGATCAAAAAGCTGCAGAACCTCCTCGAGGACCAGCACTCACGTGAGGGAGGAGCTGACGAGTCAAGGAGCTGACAAGCAACAGATGTCAGCGTCCTCAAAGATGAGCTCTCCAAGCAGTACGCCAACAACATCCGCATGAAGGCCAACATGACAAAAGACAGCTCTACGCGATCAGGTCCTCCTATCCTCCTCTTCACCACGCTGCACCCCGTCCCACTGCTCTCCAACTCTCCCGCGTCCTCTCCGCCCCAATCTCCCCCTTCATTTCCCCCACCCTCCTCCCCTTTTCCCGCTCGTGCGCATTAACTAGCTCCTCGCTTGCTCCCTCCTCCTTGCCTCTTCTCCTGGTCTCTTCTCATCCTCATAGCAGAGCTGCACATCAGTGATGGCCTGCCGCGGGGCGACAAGCTCCCGTCACACTTTCAACCGGCAGAGGACACGCACTCGCCCTCGCCTGACGCTTCTCCTCCCTCCTCGAGCGACAGCCTCACCGACGTTGACAAGCACAGGATGGGACGAGGTGCCATCGCTCCTCGTCCTGCTCGCAAGAACGTTGACCACCGTGAGGTCTGCCAGAGCTGCTGAGAAGGTGGTGGGATTGAGTTCTGCAGCAGGTTAGCTCCAAGTCCACTGGTAGCTGGGGGAGAAAGAGCGACAAGACGAGAATGCGAGGAGAGAGTCTGACCGAGTTCAAGAATGGTGAGGAAGCTGGAGGGAGGGAGGAGGGAGGGAGGGTTGTATGAGGCTGATCGATCTCTGCAGAACGGGAGGAGAAAGTCGATGCTCGATCGCTGCTCAAGCGCTTCATCGCTGACTCAGCCAAGTGACCGTGACAACTTCAACGGCGGCAAGTCAGCCTGCATGTCTCGGGGGCTACTGACTCAACATCACATGTCTAAAGTAAAATCATGATCACGATGATGTTGTTGGTGTGCGGGCTGAGGCTCTCTATGAGTGATCCGGCTCCGGGGCTGGGCCCGCCGCCACCACCGCCGCCCCGGGTGGCCGGGCGATCTGGAGCGGGCCGGGCATGACTTCAGTGATGAGAGTCATCCGAGTCCGGGGGGCTCATACCGTCACTTGTAACTGCTGTAACTGCTTCAACGAGCGTTGAAAACAACTCCAGAAATGGAGGCGAGGGAAACGAAACCAGGAGAGGGAAGAAGCTGAGAGGGCGAGAAAGAAGAAGAGACGAGATAGTGTGAGGTTGATCAAACAAGAAGCCAACCTTGACGCACAGAGTTGCCAACTGAGAAGAGCATGCCCAAGAAAGCTGCAGCAAAGACTTCGGGGAAGGGAGGGAAAGGGAAAGGCAAGGACGGGGACGTACAGGATGTCTCTTTTCAGATGCGCAAAGTCCGTGTGGAAGTAGCTAAGTTCTGTTCCGAGCTGAGAATCCCACCAGAGCTGGACATCGAGAAGCTCTTCAACACGAAGATTTATGATGCTCTGGTGGAGAACAGCGGGAAAATGATTTTCCAGGGAGACCGGCCGGGGAGGGCAGGAGTGCAGGCTCTGAGCTGCATATTGAGGGAGACATGCCCCGTTTACATCTCGATCCGATCCTTGTTCTTTTGGAGGACGGAAGTTGGAGATGAAGGGGTAGCCTCTATATGTGAGAACTGCCTGTAAGTAGGAAGACGTAGCTGTTGGTTCTTTGGCATTGACCTTTCCTTGGACAGGGACAAGGGGAAGAACGAGTCGCACAATTGGCCAGGGTTCGTGCACCTGGAGTTGTTCGACGTGAAGATGTCTGCGTTGGGATGCCAATCGCTGTCGCGCTCATTACGGGAGAACATTCCTCTGCGTAACTTAGTCATCGACCACAACGCGATCGGGTGGGAACTTGTCTGCGGGGCGAGTGAGATACAGGAATGGCGTGACGATGTTCCGCAGCGATGAAGGAGCGACGCATCTCGCTGAAGGTCTCAGGGGGAACTCCGAGCTCTCCTTCTTGTCCATGGCATACTGCCACATCGGGCCTGCGGGGGGCGTTGTGGTGGGGGAGGAAATCGTCCGTTGCACCAAGATCAAGCAGCTCAAGCTGAGGGTGAGGGATCGAGGAGGACGAGAGAGGAGGGTGAATGATTGCTCCTTGCCTCCCAGGGAAACAGAATCATGGCGAGAGGGCTAACAGCTATCTCCCTGAACCTCGGAAAGAGTGAGAGCTTGGTGCAGTTAGACCTCTCGGACAACAGGCAAGTGGAGGTCAAGGAGGGGGAAGTTGCTGAGGTCACTGCAGCATCCTGTCTGATATCCATGCTGTGAACGCCTTCTGCGAGGCCCTGAGAACCAACGTCTCTCTCGAGACCGTCGACTTTGAGGTATGTTCAACTTTGACACGAGGTGTTTGGTTGACATTTGGGCAGCACAACGTGGTTGGTGCTGAGGCTACTGCTCTCATAGCAGAGACGCTTCAAATGTGCCCCAACATCAAAAGCTTTAAGGCTTGCGGGCAGGTCAAGAGGCTCGGGCAGGAGGAGAAGGGATGAATGGCCTTGCAGGGGGTGATGAACGAGTTGTTCAAGACGACCTTGAAAGATAGCAAGGTATTTCCTGATTGGCACGTCTGTGCTCTGAGATGTGAGATCAGGGCGGGAAGAAGGGCAAGAAGAAGAAGAAGTGATTCATAGCAAGGTGTCTTGTGTAATTTACTTTGAACACAACATGTAAAGTTCTCTGTCAACGCTTTCTTGCTGCTACCGAGAGGTCTTGGCTTTACTAGGTTGACGAGGTTTGATCCGACCGAGTTTGTCCTTATCGTTTCCTCTCAACCTGACTCAACTTCATCGCTCGCGGAGGTTCCTGTCCCTGCTCAGAGGTCACGAGGGCTGCGTTGGACCGATACGATGAGAAAGATTGAAAGATGATGTCAAAGGAGCCCAGGAAAGTCCATCCAAGGAATCAGTGTGTAACTACAAGGCTGTAGGAAAGCTCCTAGCCGCAGCTGAGCAGCTTATCACCCCTTTATTCACGGCCACGCTCTCATTATCTCTGCTCTGTGACCTCAGCCCGTCACCTATTCGTCGTGATCGTTTCCCAACAGCTCGCAGAAAAGAACGAGCGAGGGTTTAAACCCTCTGACCCCCAACATGCAAGAAAATCTTTTCCAACGGACGAGATCGTGGTTAAAAGCTTGATGCATACGATGGTTGATGATGCGAACTACCTCGTAGAAACCAGGAAGAGGTTGGGGAACCACGGTCTGCTGGAAGAGCTGAAGTTTACGCTGCACAAGGGGAAGAGGCCAAAGTTGCGACCACGAAATTGCAAATCTCAAATTGTTGATTGCAGAGTCGGGCATCGATCTTCAACCTGCCATTTCGGCTGGCGACGAAAGGTAAGAACTCGCGTCTCAGTACGATGGATGCAGGGAAAACCGAACTCTATGACCGGGATATGCACTGTTAATTCAGAGGAACTTGGTGCAAGTATAGTCAACATATCGAGGATTGTTGCGTTGACACACTAGTTCCACGCGTCCATTACCACGTGGGTGGTACTCGAGATGACTCATGGTCGAACCTTAACGCCGGGCGTTTGAAAGCAAATGTGTCGAATGAACGTCGGCAAGGAACAAGTCTTGTGTGGTAGCATTCTTGGTAGTCGGAGCTAGCATGACACATTGGGAAGATAAGTCGAGCATCACAAAGATAGAATCTCGTACCTTTGTGACGTGATGGGAAGTCCACTAAGTTACTGTCTGCGGGAACATCATCACCTTCACTATGAGATCAGTGTAGATCCCATTTTTGAACTTTACCACTTCAAGCAGCAGCACAACTTTACTCAAAGTTAAGTTAAAAATCAGTACGAGGACACTCTAGGAACGCCTTGCTCGGCCCGGCGCCGACCGTTCGGAAGTTCACGGCCCGGCCACTTCTGTACCCCCACCAACGAGGCAGCCTCACCACCCACCCCCTTGCTAGTCAAGAGATCCGACCCTTGGGGGCCGTGGTAGATTCAGTCGGGAGCTCCTTCAACCCCCACCCTTGTTTACGATGTGATCCTGACCCACTACCCCCGGTTTGAGAATGACGGATTTGACCACCTACCGATTGCTCTGTTCACCACCCGGCCTCTTCCCTGAGAAGCGACGGAGGTACCCTCTCATACCTCCAATTGCCTCCCATGTTCTTTGACCACCCCTATTTCCCTAAATAGTGACTGTGTCCTTGTTTGGTCCCCTTTGACTGCCCGTTGAGTACCCCACCTCCTCCCACGGATCTGGTCCATGGACGCTTCCACCCCTCACCCCTAGATTACCCACTGGAAACCCCGTATTTAGATGAATTGTGACCCCCATCGTCTGGTACCCCAGGGGTACAACCTGCCGCCAGGTAAAATGGTCCTCTTGATGACCCTACCTGGAACCCAGTAGTCTGACTACACCCCTGAGAAGACTACTACCCCACCCTGGGGTTCTCCACTCTTGTCTGCAGACCAGCTCCAATACCTCGCGAGTTCTCTCAATACGCAGATGTCCCATCTTGACTGCTGTTCAACCCAACAGGTCTGTGGACCCACCCTACCCTGTATAAACCAACCCAGGTTACATTGCCCGGCAAAACCACCCCACCACTACGGTTGTTCCAGTCAATTCTTCCCTCCTTCCCTGATTGTAACCTACCCCACCACCCCTGTTCCATGGATATCTGGGGTCCTCGAAGAAGGTGCAGCAGGGGGTATCACAATGGGACACCACCCCGCCTTCATAGCTGTCTTAAAATTACTTTTTGAAAGTTCAGCAAATGGCTAGGGTCAAGAGTATCCACTCTTTCATTAGTGCCTCTGATATTAAATCTCTCATGCATGAATGACACAATTGAATAGAACATTTCCTCTCATCACCCTCATACGCTCCAACCCTCGAAAAACTATTTTTTGGGGACTTAATTCCCTTAGGATACCCCACCCCCCTACCCGCACCCCCACCCCCTCTCCCACCCAGTCGGAAATTACACACAATGCGGAAGGTTGTACCAACACCCTACCCTATGATCCCCCTCAGGTGGGGTCCCTCCATTACCCCCACCAACAATTTTCCTTGCTGCGAGGAGGGGAACTACCGAGTGTGCAAACCCCCACCCCCTCAATTGTACCCTACCTACCCACCTCGGAACTAAAACCTCTCCGAACCCCACCCGGTTTCCACTTCCGTCCACGAACCGAAACCCCTACTACCCCTCCTGTCTCTTGCCCCTCTAAGAGTTCATTGCCTGACCACCACATTGTATCTCTCCTGCTTCTTCAAGTCCTCCTGCGCTCTTCGCTCCTGTCCACGGCTATCTCGTATAGTTGACATCTCCTGCTCTCTTGCTCTCCCTCCCTTGGTTCTCTCTCTCCTCTCGCTGTACTGCGGATCTGCGTCTGTTACCGCCACTTACGGTTCGACAATACTGGCAATTACTAGCATCGCTCTCATCTACTTGAACCGTCGGTGCCCTCATCAGCTTCGATCAGATTATTCCAAATTTCTCTTGTCTCAGGAAGATTAACAGAGATGGCGGGAACCTCGCTTGCTCTGGCAGGGAAACGACCAAGATGCTTCATTCGCGTGGACGAGCGACAAACAGAGTGTAGCGACCAAGGCGACCGTCAGCAGCCTAGAGATCATCCATCCCATCCTCTCGGTGGCTTACTGTGGTCAGACTTCTTAAGCTTGCAAGAGATCAACCTCAACCTGGCTCTTGCATTTGCTCTTCCTGGAACAGCAAGTTTAATATCTCAATTGCCCATGGATGCGCTGCAGCGATTGGCCGAAACTATCAGGGAGGAGTGGCTGGCTGACAGGAGGAACGAGGGGCTGCTGACACCTCCGACAAGCCCTAGAATACAACAGGAACAACGAGTCCCTCCAAACTGCAAGGTTGAGAGGAGGCTGATGAAGCTGAAGCATCGGTCGGCTATTTGCTTCGACCATGCAAGACCGATCGCAGACGTGCTTTCATTTCCCTTTGATGCCTCAAACATTCTGAGCTTTCAGAGAGATCGAGATTTTATCCCGAAAGGATTCTTGGAAGACCATGGTGATGAGACGGCATACTAATCTTTGTTGAGATGTACTTGTACCTTAAATGAATAAATTTGGATAGATTTGAGGGCGATGTTGGTTCAAACGTGGATGGCGATGGAAAGCATGGCAAAGTACCACATAGGAAGAACCTGAGAAGGAGAAAGAATTGTCATGCAAGCATGTGATCTTTTGTCACAAAAATCACTCTACTCCACTCTTCTCTGCCACTCCTTTTCATCTCATCTCATCTCATCTCATCTCATCTCATCTCATCTCATCTCATCTCATCTCATATCTCATCAAGTCATCATGCTAACATTCACGATATTCAAGAATGCAGACGCGGACAAATGAGAAAGCGAGACGATCTTGGACAAGTGAAATGAAGAAGAAAAAGGGTAGGAGCTAGGGGAAGCGGTGGGGAGGGGGGGGGGGGCACGTGTAGGTGAAGTAGCTTACAAGGTTGTCGATCTGCTCAGTGAAGGCTTCTAACAAGTTTGCAGCGATGGATGACATGGTAATCATGCCGAATCTGAAAGATCATGTGAGAACGTATTCACCTTTCGTCTACCTCCTCCTTGACACCATCACTACCACCACGTTTTCACTTTCCATTCCTTCCATTGATCCCCTTCCTTCATTCATCACCTCAGCATTGACCCGTTCGCTTCCGTGAGCTTCCATAGCAACAAGCATGCTAAAGTTGTCGCAAGAATCCCAGCTGCTGTCCCCTCTACCGTCTTCCCACCCTGCAGCGCGGTGAGCAAGCCGCCTCTCCTCTCTCCTCCTCTCTTGCCGCTGCTCCTCGGGTCCACCGCATCCTCCCATGCAGCTTCCCGTACACAGACGCTGCTGTGTCCCCGACCCCTGACGTGGGTCAGCACGGGAGCGCAGGACCCTCCTTGCGCCTACCAACGATGAGAGCTCCTGCAAGTGGCTCCAGGATGGAGAAGCGGCCTCGAGGTCCTGCAACTCCATTGAGTACAAGGAAAACGAGGGACAAAATGAAGACAGTAAGGGAGGGAGGGAGAGGAAGGAGAGAGAGAGGGAGAGGGAGAGGAAGAGGGAGGGGAGGCAGAGGGAGGGAGGGAGGGAGAGGCAGCGCATGGAGAAAGAGTACAAGGATGAGGCATGTGACCTTGGTATGGCGTCAGCCAGGACGGGAGTGCGCAGCCGACGAGGAGGTAGATGTGCGTGAAGATGAAGACACCGCTGTCCCTTTCGTCCACATGCACTAATAGAGGATGAGAGGGTGGAGGAAGAGAGGAAGGGTGGTCACCGGCAACCACTCTTTCAAGTGAAGCAGAGAACGGTCGTATCCTGAGCCAAGGCACACGAGGGGGAGGGAACGTGGCCGCTGACGTCACCTCGAAGCTCGGATGAGCTCCAGGCTCACAAGGAGAGCCGTGGCAGCGGCGTAAGCCAGGCGAAGCATCTCTGAGAGAGACATGAGGAGAGGAGAGGAGAGGAGAGGAGAGGAGAGGAGAGGAGAGGAGTGGAGTGGAGTGGAGTGGAGTGGAGTGGAGTGGAGTGGAGTGGAGAGAGGGAATGAGTGGAGGGAGGAGAGGAGGAAAAAGAGGAAGAATACTGACCTGGCTGAAAGAGCTGACCGGGACAGAAGAGAAGGAGGGCTACCACGTGGTATCCTTTGCGAATGACAGTGCGAGGAAGCGATGAATGACGAGGCGGATAAAACTTGAGGCAGACACCTGCTTGCTATCAGCTGCTCCTCCTTCCTCAAACGTCGTGTCATGCTCTAGGCAGATCCTGCACTCAGCCTCTACATCTCCTCTCCATCTCCATGATCTCCCCTCCCCCCCGCTCTGACTCTACACGCACCCATGACGATGACCCAGTAGGCCAGGAGCGCTAGCCTTTCGTAGCTTGATGATACATGATCGAAGACCCAGAGTCCAAGATTCTTGACAAAAAGTCACAAGAGGAGGAAGAGGAGGAGGAGCAGGAGGAGCAGGAGCAGGAGCAGGAGCAGGAGAGTGGGCCGAGGAGGAAGAGGAAGGGGAGGAGGAGACAAGAGCAAGACCTGACGGAGTAGGGTAGAGGCTGAAGGGACCAAGACAAGAAGAATCAAAGAGCCAAAGAGGCTGAAGAAGAGGAGGCTGCGTCCTGCCGAAGATGTAGTCTCAAGATGCTGAGAACTTCGTTCTGTCGAGAGAAAAGCAGTGTGAGGACAGTGTGAGATCAGTTTGAGGTTTCAAGGGGTTGTTAGGCAATGTCAGGCTTGTCACAACTCACTGGGAGTGGTGGAGTCCCGGCACATGACGAAGGGAGACATCACAACAGCCGTCAAGAACGTCCCGACGATGAGGCACAGGACCACGAGGTCTACATCTGACATCTGAACGAGCCGTGAGATGCTGGCAGGCAACTCCGGCAGCTAGGCTTACCTCTCTTGTGATGGGAGAGCGAATGGAGTAGAGGCGATCAAGCGATGTTGAAACCTACTCATTTACATCACCATCATCATTGTCACGATTTCCATCTCCATCGTTGTCGTGGTTTCATCAGTATCATCATGATTGCCATCCCCAAAATCTCCATCGTCATCGTCATCGTCATCAACTTCACCATCATATCCGTAATATCGTACAACAATAACAATCTCATTGATTGTTTTATGGGGTTCGGCAAGTGATCAACTGACCATGTCCACCATTAAGCTCGTCAACACGTTGGCAAGGATGCAAGCTTCTCCTAGCTGGCAAGGAGAA